ACAAGTTCAGCTGTTTGATACAAGCTTTATATAGGTTGATATAAGTTTAAGTAAGGTTTAGATTCGCCAATTCAACTGGTTTCTAGAAGGGAATCCACAAGTTCAGCTGGTTGATACAAGCTTTATATAGGTTGATATAAGTTTAAGTAAGGTTTAGATTCGCCAATTCAACTGGTTTCTAGAAGGGAATCCACAAGTTCAGCTGGTTGATACAAGCTTTATATAGGTTGATATAAGTTTAAGTAAGGTTTAGATTCGCCAATTCAACTGGTTTCTAGAAGGGAATCCACAAGTTCAGCTGAGTTGATACAAGCTTTATATAGGTTGATATAAGTTTAAGTAAGGTTTAGATTCGCCAATTCAACTGGTTTCTAGAAGGGAATCCACAAGTTCAGCTGGTTGATACAAGCTTTATATAGGTTGATATAAGTTTAAGTAAGGTTTAGATTCGCCAATTCAACTGGTTTCTAGAAGGAAATCCACAAGTTCAGCTGGTTGATACAAGCTTTATATAGGTTGATATAAGTTTAAGTAAGGTTTAGATTCGCCAATTCAACTGGTTTCTAGAAGGGAATCCACAAGTTCAGCTGGTTGATACAAGCTTTATATAGGTTGATATAAGTTTAAGTAAGGTTCAGATTCGCCAATTCAACTGGTTTCTAGAAGGGAATCCACAAGTTCAGCTGGTTGATACAAGCTTTATATAGGTTGATATAAGTTTAAGTAAGGTTTAGATTCGCCAATTCAACTGGTTTCTAGAAGGGAATCCACAAGTTCAGCTGGTTGATACAAGTTTTATATAGGTTGATATAAGTTTAAGTAAGGTTTAGATTCGCCAATTCAACTGGTTTCTAGAAGGGAATCCACAAGTTCAGCTGGTTGATACAAGCTTTATATAGGTTGATATAAGTTTAAGTAAGGTTTAGATTCGCCAATTCAACTGGTTTCTAGAAGGGAATCCACAAGTTCAGCTGGTTGATACAAGCTTTATATAGGTTGATATAAGTTTTATGTAAGGTTTAGATTCGCCAATTCAACTGGTTTCTAGAAGGGAATCCACAAGTTCAGCTGGTTGATACAAGCTTTATATAGGTTGATATAAGTTTAAGTAAGGTTTAGATTCGCCAATTCAACTGGTTTCTAGAAGGGAATCCACAAGTTCAGCTGGTTGATACAAGCTTTATATAGGTTGATATAAGTTTAAGTAAGGTTTAGATTCGCCAATTCAACTGGTTTCTAGAAGGGAATCCACAAGTTCAGCTGGTTGATACAAGCTTTATATAGGGTGATAGAAGTTTAAGTAAGGTTTAGATTCGCCAATTCAACTGGTTTCTAGAAGGGAATCCACAAGTTCAGCTGGTTGATACAAGCTTTATATAGGTTGATATAAGTTTTATGTAAGGTCTAGATTCGCCAATTCAAATTGGTTTCTAGAAGGGAATCCACAAGTTCAGCTGGTTGATACAAGTTTTGCATAGGTTGATATAAGTTTTATGTAAGGTTTAGATTCGCCAATTCAACTGGTTTCTAGAAGGGAATCCACAAGTTCAGCTGGTTGATACAAGCTTTATCTAGGTTGATATAAGTTTATGCAAGGTTTAGATTCGCCAATTCAACTTGCTTCTGGAAGGGGACCCAAAGGTTCAGCTGGTTGATACAAGTTTTGTATGGGTTGATATAAGTTTTATGTAAGGTTTACATTCGCCAATTCAACTGGTTTCTGGAAGGGGACCCAAAGGTTCAACTGGTTGATACAAGCTTTTTATAGGTTGATATAAGTTTTATGTATGGTTTAGATTCGCCAATTCAACTGGTTTCTAGAAGGGAATCCACAAGTTCAGCTGGTTGATACAAGCTTTATCTAGGTTGATATAAATGTAAGGTTTAGATTCGCCAATTCAACTGGTTGCTAGAAGGGAATCCACAAGTTCAGCTGGTTGATACAAGCTTTATCTAGGTTGATATAAGTTTATGTAAGGTTTACATTCGCCAATTCAACTGGTTTCTGGAAGGGGACCCAAAGGTTCAACTGGTTGATACAAGTTTTGTATATGTTGATATCATGTGTGTAAAAGGATTATATCCGCAAATTCAATCAACTGGTTTGTAGGAGGGGCCCAAAAGTTCAAATGGGTTATACAAGGCCAATTAAAGGCTTCTTAATTCATATAAGGTTAATATCATCAAATTCAACTGGCTTATAGAAGGGGGCCAAACATGGAACCCAAAACAGGATTTGAAACAGGATTTGGCATTCCCAAAATCCAATTGGTTGATATTTCTGGATTGAGGATACTTTGATAACTCTAAATTACCCTAAAACACCCTAAAGCACTCTAAAACACTCTAAAACACTCCAAACCACTACAACCCTCTAACTCTAAACCACTCTAAATCACTCTAAGGCACTCGAGTCACTCACACATTGCAAAAACCAATTAAGTAAGACATTCTCCTTGGCAGGACAGGAATGGTCGCAATAACGTCAGAAGTCAACATCCAAGAAGCACACAAAGGGTTCCTGAATGTTGGCCCTTGATTTACTACTGGCTTACCAAAACTTGTGTGTTTTGCCAAGTAGCAACACGATGTTGAATGGGGGTCGATCCCCAGAAGCCCTGTAAATCACGACGCTTTAGAGAACCGACCCCCCAATTTAGGGGGATGCTTTAGGAATTTCCAAATTAAGGGGTTTTGAAGCGGGGGGTCTGTCCATAAGACCTCGTGATGTACATGGATTTAAGGAACCGACCCCCAAATTCGGAGCTCCCCCTTCCCCTCACTCCACCCACCCTTTCTCTCCTACATTCCCCACTCAACCCATGCCCGGCCCCCAAAGTCATGGACCCTCACAACCACTACCTCTGAATCGGGGGGTCGGTTGTTGGGGGGCCACCCCAATGACCCATGAATTTCTGGAAGCTCAAACACCCATCCAGAGAATGCTTGGGTGCCCAGTTTGTGGATTCCATTAGATTTTCCAGGTTGTCCTTCTTGCTCTCCTTTAGTCTTGCTTTAGTTGTTGGATTTGCTACCGGGTTATAGCAGCTTCCAAACTGTCTAGAGAAGAAACCGCGGGGTGAACGAAAGCTAGCAGCTCTTGTTTGAGACGGGTCGGAAACAGAGTGGATTCCACAGGTAGCTTGTGCACTGTGAGGCGCCGTAAACAGTCCCAGGATGCTACAAACCCTCGTGGAACCTTACCCTCACTGAACCTCGTGGACCCCTCATAAAACCCTGCAGAACCCTTGTGGAACCTTGCCTCAGGGCCGCCCCGGACCACCCCGGAGCCTATCTGGGCTGAGACCCAAAGCTTTCAGCTGTTGGGGAAAAACACCCTTTTTAGCTTTTTGAGCTCCATTTTTGCAGGGAGTAGTCAGGAAAGGAACACAAAATGCCAACAACTGGGTGGTTTTGCCTGGCCCGGCACCACCCTGGGCTTCAAATTTGCTCGCCACAAGATCACAGCAAGCTCACCATTCAGTTGGCGACCAACAGGTGATGTTAACCTCAAACACGAGGACATATGGCTTTGGGACCCTGAGAGATGTGGGCTGGTTGGGTGTTGACCCACACCAATGGACGTGAGACAAATCGGACCGGGCCTGAGATGCAGATTTGACTGGCTTATAACCTGAGGTGTTTGGCTTCTCCGCCGGGTAGCAGCAGGCCTGTGCCGATGGTGTTTGCCACGTTGCACCACGCGAAGAAGGCAGTCTGCCTGAGCCGCTGGGTTTCTTGTCACGCGCCCGCGTCCAGTGAAGTGGCATCCTCAAAAGCACCCCCCCGCCATGTTCCCGCGATTTCATGAAAAAACACGATGCAACGAACCCCCGGGATCGCACACCAACATACACTTTGGGGACGACTAACATGGACCAATTTAGAACAGGTGTGGTTTTCTTCTTGTTTCGCGAGGGAGGGCGGTGTGCCTAAGCTTCACACTCTCTCTCTCTCTGAACTTTTGACCTGATCCAGGTCATACCGAGGCGTCCAAACGCATCCAACCCTCAAACAGCCCAGCAAAACTCCGGGTGGTATCTAAGTGGTCTGGGCGAAGTTTAAAACGAGCTTCCACAATTCTAAAAAACACACGGGGCCCACCAAAAAGCGGAACATGTATGGATATTCGTCCTTTCCCGGAGGGGGGGGAGGGTGTGCAGGGGTTGGGGTGCATTTTTTTCCGGATTGCAGGACACACCCAGCTCACTTTCCAGAACTTCCATATGAAAGAAGAGTAGCCAAGCTTTGCCCTGTTCGTTGCGACAAGACCATGTTTGGTGACAAATGAAACGAAACAAGTTATTTTTTCCTCGTGTTTTTCCCCGGTGCTGCGCACTGACTACGAATCAATTGGAGTTAGCGCCTGGGACTGGCCGCTGATCGAAAAATGACCCATGCGCTGGCTGAGTTGGGGACCGGTACCCAATCCAAATCCGCAACCTGAGAATCTGAATTGTGACACCAAAAACAAGAATAAATCACTGCCATCTGGCATAGGGAAGGATTGATTGCGAAGAACCCGGACTGATGGAATGTGGAAGCCAAATGACTGTGTCAGAAAAGAAGGCACGCCCAGCGAGCTTAAACAGCTGAATCACTCCCAAAACAGGTGCGCCTCAACCCCCAAAACGGGTTGGGTTCCTTCCTCTTGCCCTTGAAAACCAGACGTGCAGAGAGATCGAGCCATTCCACAGCCCAATTCTCGAGGTTGCAGCGACTGCAATGCGGACCGATGCCTTGAGGTCTGAGACAAAACAGGAGGCTCCAGGAATCTCCCCAAAGCCTATGCATAGAACTTGAGACTGTCTTCCGAACTTCAACGTTTTGTGGCCCAAGGGACACCTCCCTGAACTCCCATTCTGAAGGGCCAAGGGGCACCCGCCGTCCCAACCGAAAAAAGATCGACCACTGGATACCTTGTTGGAGTTGTCAGGCAGCGCTCACCCGGTTGCCCTAGGACACCCCTTCTTTTCAAGAGAAATCCTCCTCCCAAAGAAAAACGAGGCACCACTTGGAGGTCTGGGTGCTTTGCCTGATGGCCTCGATTCACAAGGGCCAAGGTGCCTGTCCTTGTTCCCAGGGATGAGATGGCCATCGATCTTCTTGGGCCAGCGTTCCTCAAGTCGCTGCTTGTGGCTGCGTTTCCGGGTGTTCAATCCGTCTGGACAACTCGAATCATGTCCCATCCCTCCGGGTTTCCTTTGGGACCCCTTTTTGGATGCTTTTGAAGGCAATCCACAAGGACACCAACCGTTTCAACCAGGACAGGTCCCCAATTTTGAGAAATTACTCTTGGCTCAACATGACCCTGGCGCTCAAAGGGTAGACCCCCTCCACCTGTTCACTTAAAGTTTGTCAATGTGTTCAACCCCAGGATTTCAGTCTTTGCCCCCGTCAGTTTACTCAAGCGCAACAATTCACAGTTGCTTCTTCCAGATGCCTGGACTTTGCAGACTTGTGGCATGTCCCTGCTCCGAACTGGGGCTTTCATGAAGGACCATTGTCAAGCACGCCTGAGGTCACACTCCAAATGTGTCCAAATTATATGAGCTATAGCATCTTACTACAGTTCGTCCTGAATTCAAGGATCAATATGCAAATGTCCTTCATCCTTCACAAGCTCGTCTAATATGCATATATATATATATATATATAGCTAGAACATTGCGCATAAATCGATAATTTCCCCAGATCAGGATATGCATCATCGGATGGCCAAAATGGAGGGTATGGTTTCCCAGAAAAGGGGGCTCGACAGGTTGGTTTTTACACCAGCCCTGAGCACTGACCTTCTGGGAATACATATTGTTTTTCCTTGAACCCGGAGGATGTATCCTGGTCCAAATCCAGCGAGCTCAACAGTTTTTCAGCTTATGGTTCCGGCCACTAAACGAAAACAACAAAACTTGGTGTTGGACAAGTCGGGTTGTCAAGTGAAGCCTTGCCCTACATCTCCCTCCACATTCAGGGGATGGCTACCGCAACCATTTCAAACCGCGGATGCGAAGACAACAGCTGGTGAGTCCGATTGCAACCCATCAAATCAATCATGCACTAAGCGACATCGATCGAAGGCCTCATGAAGCCACTCAATGGAACAAGAAGAACAAGTCCCATCTCAGCCTACCCCAGTTGATGCTTAATCTATGGTTGATTGACAGGGGAGGCAATACAGTTGAGGTGGCAGCTCGATCAATTGTGGGAAAGCAACACCATGCAACACCTATTGCTCTGCCACGTTTCATCCAGGCGGGCTCTCTCCCACTTGGCTATCGACCCTGGCGGAAAAATGACACCTTAAGGTGGGGTAGTGAGTCGGTTGGTGCAAATGCTTGCCGCTCTTGCCGTGCAAACGAACCAAGGGCACTTTGAAAGCAGGTGTTTGTGTGTGTGTGTCCTTTGATAAGTTGGCAACCCCCTTTTCTGTTAAACAAACAAAACCCAACCCGCACATGATTTCCCACAGGCTGTTGTTTGGCTTACCATACCCTTTTGTTCAAAAAACCTTAGACACCGAACCCGGCGCCCAACGAGGCGCGTTGGTGAGGGCGGTGCCCTGGTAGTCCAAGATCACGCGGGGCACCAAGTGGGCGCAAGCCACCCAAAAGATGCCCGCGACGAAGGGGCGGGACAGGATCAGGGCCTCACTTCAGCTGGTCAGCCCCCCGAAACGAAACAACCTGGCTTCGTTGTTCTCCACCCCCCCTTAAAAAAAAAAGCAAGCAAGCAAGCAAGCAAACAAACAAACAAAACAAACAAACAAACACAAAGCAGCAACAAGTTGTTTCAGGTCAATATTTAGTGAACCTTAAGGTCAACTTGAGTTCAAACTCCTAGTCAGGGTTCCTCCCAATCGACACGCTCGGCACAAAACATTTGGCCCGAGGAAAGTGGGTTTGCCAATGCTGCAGCGTGATTTCAGCTTGCTGCTTCGGCTTCTTCGGTCAACGCACCAGCCATCACAAATGAGAAAACCTTTTGTGCAGCAGCCTTGGGTGGTGAAACCGGTCACACCAAACAACTGGTTACCACATAGTATGTGTGTGTGTGGTCTCTTGAGGGTACCATTTTCAGGTTGGTTTAAAGGGCAACCAAAAGGAACATCACGATTTTTACGGGTTTTGAGACACATCCACATGATAACAAAAAACACTCGTTCAACTGCTCGCTTTGGCCAAAGGCACACGCGACAGAGCATTCCTCCAGCAGCTTTCTTCGGCAAAGACATTGACATATCGTTTGGCAAGCGATTCTTGTTCCCACGGCAACTTACGGACTGCGCAGTAAGTGGGTTAGCCCGTTCAGTGCGTTGACAAAGTGAAAGTTTAACGCATTTGACAGAATACGATTCAAGCATCCGAGTGCGCTTGGACGCAGGGCACCGTACCATTTCCGTCGCCGTGTTGACCACTTCACGAAGGGACCTTGCAACACCAAACTAAACCTACGCTGTGGGCCCACCCGTTCGACTGGTTCCATTGCAGGGCATTGGGGAAAAGCTTTGTCGCAAGAACCGCCATATTTCCGCATGACGCTGTCGGGGTTCCGAGAGAAAAATGGCCATTGCCGCAGCCCTTAAGCGTAAGGGAAATCTCCGGGTCCCAACCCACCCAGACCTTAGAGGCTGTAAACCTAGGCAAGGCCTGTCCAAAGCGCCCAAAACGCATCGGCTTTTGGCGCTACATCATCGATTCATAGGCCTCACTGTAACCCCAATTCCACTACGAATTATGGCCAGGGACTGGGGCTAGGGACTGGGACTGTTTTTTTTTCTTCTTCTTTTTTTGCTGGGCTTGTCCAGCAACCCCACCAGGGAAGAACGTTTGTCCCTGGAAACCCTATGTTTCTTCACTTTGAGGTTCTCTGGTAGGGCTTGCACAGAAATCCCAGCGAAACCCCGCAAAGGTCCATCACAATTTGCAAATCAAAATTTGCGCGCCAAAAACTGAAGAACCGGACCCATGAGGAGGCAATTCCTTCATTCATGAAATCCGGTGAAGAATTGCATCCAATCCCTCCCTCCCCCCTCCCCTTCCCTTCCCTCCCCTCCCCTCCCCTCCCCTCTCCTCCCCTCCCCTCCCCTCGCCTCCCCCCTCCCCTCCCCTCCCCTCCCCTCCCCTCCCCTCCCTTCTCCTTCCCTCCCTCCCGTCGAGGCGGTTCTTATCCGAAGCGCAATGCCCTCCACGCTCTCCCAGAGCTTCAGCGCCATCGCCTTGCAGCCCCTCGCGCAGCAGTTTTGCCGCGGGGCCGCAGCGCCCTCCCCCTCGATGCCTGGATGAGACGTGCCGAGCAACTTTTGAATGGCCACGCCGTAGCGCAGATGAGTCATCTGTGTGTGTGTGTGTGTGTGTGTGTGTGTGTGTGTGTGTGTGTGTGTGTGTGTGTGTGTGTGTGTGTGTGTGTGTGTGTGTGTGTGTGTGTGTGTGTGTGTGTGTGTGTGTGTGTGTGTGTGTGTGTGTGTGTGTGTGTGTGTGTGCGCTTTCTTGTGTGTGCGTGTTTTTTTGTTTTATTATTATTATTCATTTTTGTGTGTTTCCGGGTGGGTGGGTGGGTGGGTGGGGGGTTGCGATTGAGGTGGGTACCTTGTTTTGTTGACTTGGCGCCTCGTTTTTGCTTTGCCGCCACTTTGGAAGGGACAAAAGGAAAACCGCCATTTTGGGGGGGGGGTGCCCAGTGATTTTCGGAGTTGGCAACCTCTGTTTTTGCTTGGTTCACAACCAAAGCCTTTCTTTTGGGACCCCTACTTTGACAAATACGCAGCCCATATCGCCAGAGTCCGCATGGCTTGATATGGGTGTTGCCTTCAGTGTATACCCGTTGCGTACCCGGATAGTTGGCCAGTAAACAGTGGATCCTTCTGTTAGGAAGCTGAATTGTCCAGATTAGATTGCAGGGGCCGTGCGACCGCCTGCCTGGACAACCAAAAGAAGGCCTGGCTTCACAAGATTATTTCTCAACAGGGATTCGTTTGAAGGTTCAACTCAACATGAATCAAACAATCCCAAGCAGCACCACAACCAAGCACCAAGAGAAGTACAAACGGGCACCTCCTGAAACTTAGATCAGCTTTGCGGATTCCATGCTGGTTTGTGCAGTGGGTCTTTCTTCAAATAAACGGACAGCCAGCCAAAATCAGAGTTTGCCCAATCCGCAGAGTTTTTCTTCGTGGAAATCAAGCACCATCCAGGGATCCCCATGTAAATATGGTTCAAGTGGAAGCGGACCCTTTGCCATGAGCACAACTGGCTGCTTTCGCCAAAGACCTTACCGTCAACCTGGGTTGGTCAAACGTCAAACCGAGCCCTGCAAAAAGCAGAGCGTTTGGCTGGTCAATCCAGAACCTTGCGCCAGGTTCTGCAAGTTTGAGACCGAGTTGGTCTTTGGGTAAGAGTCATGCCCCTAAAAGTTGCAAGCTTAAAGGCCAAACACATGAAAGACCTACACGGGAACGTTTGGTCATTTGCGTCAAATCAAAGTTTCAAGCCAGCAACCCTCCTCACATCCGTCTGCGCTTTTGGGAGCCCCTTCACGCACGCCCGCCCTTTCCCCTTTCGAACGTCCAAAGCTATGCCAGCCTTGCTCAGCGACCTGGGACACCAAGACAAAGAGTACTCGCATTGACGCTCGGACAAGATTATTGATTTATTTCCCATGGGGACTTGTGGGGACTTGGGAAAATTGGCCTGGCCCACCATGTCCGCCCCAAAGCAACATGCAACCAATCAGTTGCCGGTCGCTTATGGCTGAGTGACTCTAAACGCGGACTCCCTTGCCAAAGACCCGCCTTAATAAGCGGGTTGCCGGTGAGGCTACGCAGTTCCATACAAGTATATCTAATCTTCTGAAGGGAAACTGGAACTTCGGGACCAAACACGAAATTGCGGGAGAAACAGCTGCAGCCCCACCCTCCACATGTTGCTTTCCCGGTTTCTGCCCTTCCGGTTTGCTCAGAAACGTGTAGTTGCAAAGCTTTCTCAAGCTGCGAAACCATCGCTGCGCCGAGGGGGGGGGGGGGACATACATGTGGCATTGCAATACAGGGTGCTGGGTTTACTGACCGGTGGTGCCGTTCGAAAGGCAAAGAGTCGGGAGCTTCTCACCTGGCATGTGGCCATTGGAGCCGCACCACGACCGCCATTATCAGCGACGTGTACTTTTCGCAACATGGAACTCTTGGGCAACCTCTCAAGCACACCACAAAAAACGCTTTCCTTTTTGATCTATACGAGCTCGACTGAGTGTGAGTGAAGGGCCCGCACAAGTCACTCCGGTGCACTTGATGCTTGGGACGTCAACGAGACAAGAACTGTGTAGATGGTGAGAGGTACGCCCCGAGTTCGCTCGACAACTCGCACCGGCGGTCCGGATTTGCACCCATGAGAAACACAGGTTGCGTTCCATTCAAGCAGGATGTAGTGCCTGACCAAAGAAAAAGAGCACCTTCTGTTTCAAGGCCATTGAGGTTCTCTTTTTGCCAGTGCAAGAGCAATAAGCCTGAAACCTCTTGTTGAGCATTAAACAAAACATGATTCTGAATTGGTCTCAATGGGAGTTTCTCAACATGGACCCCTTTTGGAATATAGTGGGTGACTGATGCATATCTTGACAACCCCCCAAATGCAATTGAAGAAAACCCAATCATTTTGATTCAAACCCCATGGTTTTGATCAACCCCCCAGTGTTGTTTTGAACAATACCACTGGAAGCTGCTTAAAACAAAAAAACACAACAGAACCTCTGCACCACCCGCAAACATTTCCAAGCGGCAAACCTTTCTTGGGTACTTCCCGTAGACTTCCCTGGAACCAAGTAGCACACCTATTTTGGGCACTTTCTAGGCTTTCAAGGGAAACCCCTCAGCCCAAAAGTCCCAAAAGTGAAACACGCCCGCGCGCCCAAACGCGCCCAGGTGCGGGCAGCGTCGTCAGCGCCTCTGCCAGGGGCTCATGCTCTGGTTCGCCCGCCTCCGCGGGCGCGCGGGCCGCCAGGACGCAGGCCCACCACACCTTGGATGACGAGGCGGGGGAGGCAAAGAGGGAGGAGGCAAAGGGGGGGGAGGCGAGGCGGGGGAGCTTGGGGAAGGCGGGGGAGCTTGGGGAGGCGGGGGAGGCTGGGGGAAGCCCAATAATTGGGTTGGGAATGATTGGCGCTGAATTGCCATGGGCGGGGACCGCCCAAGATGGTTTTGGCACTTTTCTGCAAGCTTGGAAGTTGAAAAGGTAAGCTGAGGGTTTCCCATCCCTATGTCCTTTCAAGAAATGGTGTCTTTTGCTTTAGATGGCTCCTTCCGGTCTGAAAACATGTCCATCATGGAGGACCATGTCTCGCTCAGCCAGTGGCCCTGAACCCAGTGAAGCCACCATAGCCGCTATCACTGATCGTGCATCCCGTGGTTTACCACTTTGGCATGCCGTGACCCAAGAATAGTTGGCTTGCTTTTGGGTTTCCCTCAAAAACAACAACCCCAAAAAGGGTACCCTCAAGAAACACGCACTGGTGCAAAGACACCCAGAACCACGTTTAGGGATGGCCATGGGCCTGTACTTGAAGAGGGTGTCCGCAACCCCAATACTACGAGGGAGAATGGGTAATATAACCTTCAAATAAAGACTAAATGGTGAGATCACAGAACTGAGAATCCTCTGGTTCTCGCCGGGGGTGTTCCCTGTTGGAGGCGGTCTTTCACTTTTGGGACATACACCTCCAATGAACTTGCTAGGGTCTTCAATCTGCCAATATGTACCATGGTTAAACCATCTTATGCGGGGTGGTGATGGCGTTCTTGATGGGAATCCTGGTGTTGGTTGTCTGAGAATCCTTCAAGGCTGTCCATGACCATGCCAAAAGCATAACAATGTGTTTTGCCAGTGTTGCATATGAATTGTATATATATATATGGTACGCCCCCCCCTGGTGCCTAGGTGTTGCTTGATTTCAGTCATTTGTTCAGGTAATTTTGCATTTATTTGGCCAAACTTGGGCACCAAGGAAGGGGTGTGTGCCACAATTCTACAATTAAGAATTCTGGACCCAAGATTGCTGGGAGACGTTCAATGTGACAATCTGGAATTCAAGATTCAATATGTCAAACAATCTGTTCTGGAATAATTATGGAATATTGAATCGTGCATCCCATTTAAACAAACAAACTGGGATTCAAGATTTCAAAATAATATCTTTCTGGGAATCTTTAATCTTGAATATCATATTTTTTTAAAAAAAATCTGGGATTCAAGATTCAAGGATGTCAAAAAAGCAGTTGTTCCCGGAAATCTTGAATATTGAATCCCATAATGTGTATATTTGAATAGCTTTCTGTGAAATAATTGAATTTCGAATCTTCAATACAGTGGCAAAATGCGTTCGAAGTTTTAGAACAACTTGATCATTTTTAGGGTTTGACCAGGATGGATGATTCTCAGGAAAGTTGTTGTTTGTGCAATCCTCGATATTGAATCCTCAATCCAGTGGTAACGCACTTTCAAGTGTGATAACAACTTGAAAGTGTTTTTGGGTTTGGCCAGGATTGAAAATTCTCAGCAAAGTGTTCTGTGTAATCTTCAATCTTGGTTTCTTTCCATCCAGTGGTAAAATACGTTCAAGTGCTTAGTGATCCAGTGGAAACGCTTTCAAGTTATTAGTTAGACAAACTGTCAAGCGCTTTTGGTGAGCGGTTTGCTACATGTTAGCTATGAAGCATGTTGACCCTGTACCAGGAGGTAAACAAAGGTAGGTGTAATGCTCAAAAACACTGTATTTCAGATTTTTAGGAAGAGGCGCAGGATCATTAGGGGTACTTTGTATGTATGTGTATATATATATACATACACATGTATGTACGTTCACACACCGTCACCCGCCCCCTCTTGAACTACCTCTCCACATTTGCTCATCTACTACCTCCGCCTTGTGAGATAGAATTATTTTTTATTTCCTGTGCAAATAGAACTTTAAACACAACTGATTCAGCTAGAATCCCTGTTTCGAAATAGTTTTAGAATTGGAACCTCTCTTCCCTTGAAATTTCCTTTTGGAACACCATCTACTGTAACAAGTTTAATTTCGGACCTTTCTTATGCTGAAAACGGGCCAGGATATAAATAACACAATTCGTATTTCGAATTTCCTTGTTAAGTCCCTTAAATGTTTAGCCATATTTAATATGAACTAAATTTAAGAAGTAATCTCTATTGAATTGTTCTTATGAAAAGCTAATTGAGTTGTGTTCGGATTAGATAACACTTACATTATATTTGGGAATAAACTCCTAACTTCTTTTGTTGAAGAATAGTTAGAGTTTGCCCGAAACTATACTTATATTCTCAGGTAGCTCCTATTTGGAAAGGCTATCATATTCGGACATTTCGGATCTTGTAATGATGGACTGCAAGCCCATTCGTCTGTGCTTAAAATCTATAGCAAAAAATCTAAACTCTACAGCCCGCGCGCTGAAATCAAGCAAAACCTAGGCACCAGGGGAGGGGGGGGCTTTGGTTGACGTTATTTGCCTTCAATTTATGTCCACCAAACAATTTGAGGAAGTTCCCCTCTCAACATCATAGCAATGAGGGGGGTGCACCAACCACGCTTCACAACAGCTTTCCAACCACGACAGAAATTGTTCCTACCACGACTCGGAATTATTTTTCTTACTACGAAAAATTGTAATAATAATCACGATAAGCTCAAAAAGCGGATCCTTCCTTCCTTGAAACAGGCCTCCCTCCTTCTCCTGATTCCTTCCTTCTTCCTTCTTCCCTTCTTCCAACAATGGACGGTTGATTCAAAGAACGCGTGTTTTGCACTTTTGGGACCCAACAAATGCAAAACACATGTTCTTTGGAACAGCCGTCCATTAGCTCTGAACTTTCTGGAGCCCTGTTTCAAAGAACATGTGTTTTGAGTTGTTGGCCCCCAAAAACTGCAAAACACACGTTCTTTGGAACAGCCGTCCATTAGCTCCTTACAAGCTCCTTATCAAGCTCTTCACAAAGGTTTTTGAAGAGCTCCTTATAAAGCTCCAAATACAGCTCCTGAAAGAGCTCCTCACAAAGCTCCTTGTAAAGCTCCTGAACTTTCTCGGGCCCTATTTCAAAGAACGTGTGTTTTGAGCTTTTTGGCACCCAAAAACTGCAAAACACACGTTCTTTGGAACAGCTTGTCCATTTCTGGGGCCCTGTTTCAATTAACGTGTGTTTTGAGCTTTTTGGCCCCCAAAAACTGCAAAACACACGTTCTTTGGAACAGCCGTCCATTAGCTCCTCCTGAACTTTCTGGGGCCCTGTTTCTAAGGAGCTTTGTGAGGAGCTCTTTCAAAACACACGTTAAATGAAACAGGGCCCCAGAAATGGACAGCTGTTCCAAAGAACGTGTGTGTTTGCAGTTTTTGGGGGCAAAAAAGCTCAAGACACACGTTCTTTGAAACAGGGCCCCAGAAATGGACAGCTGTTCCAAAGAACGTGTGTTTTGAGCTTTTTGGGGTGCCAAAAAGCTCAAAACACACGTTCTTTGGAGCAGCCGCATGGACCAAAATTATTCATCGTGGTATGAACCCTTTTTATTTGTCGTGGTATGAAGCTCAATTATTTATTACTGTTATTTTTGTTTTTGTCGCTGTTATTGAAGTCTTGTCGTGGAATGTACCTCCCCTGTCATAGTAATAGCCAAAGGCAGGCCCTGACACTGCATCCCAGCGGCCAGGCCCGCGATCACAAGGAGCGCCGCCGCCTGCACAATCAGCAGGCCTGTGGTGCCGCCCACCTGAATGGTGCACATGGAGAAGTGTACCGTCTACTTTCAGCTTGGTGTAAGGTCCTCCTATTTGTTCTTGCTTGTTGCGCCGTGTTGAGATGAGGAAGTTATCACGCAGTCAAATGGTTGGCACTCCCTGTTCAGGCAGAGTGCCCTTGTTTCCTTTGTAAAACGGCCCGAACTTGTGGTTTCAGTTTAGATCCCGATGCCTGCCACGTGATCCTTCGCATAGCACTGAGGAGAGATAAAATTGGGCCCCTGCCCTCCAGAAAACATAACAGAACCCCGCAATGAGAAGCCCTTCTGTTGCCTCCCCAGTCGTCCTGGCCAGAATGCTGGGCTACTTGCACAGCTCAAAGTTGGAGAACGGCTTGGATGTCCATCCCAGGTTCACAGTGGCTGACACCTGGATATGAAGTTCGAGGTAGGATTCGCCCCACATACAACATTGGAGGGACCTACCGCAAATATCAGCCAGCTTTACTGTTCACTTGCTAGCTGTTGTGGTCATTCAATTGGGTGCAAGGCTTTTCCTTGGCATGCTCGGTCGGCGACGTTCTAGCTTGCACATGCCTTGCACCTAATTCTCCTGATACCAAAAGAGTTGCGTTGTGTGTGCTGAAGAACACATCTGTCCAGAATTGATCTCGCCCATCGGCCGAGGAGTTCTGACTGCTTTGCAGGGGTCACACATCCAAAGCTGCCGAAGGATTGTGGGCGAATGTAGGCAGCCTCTCACCAGGCCTCTGACAAATTAACATGGCACCTGACAGGGGGGCTGGCTTGGACCATTTTCCTTTTCAAGGAGTTTTATGTTCGTGGGCAGGTACCCAAAGGAAGAAACCAAGAAAGGAAGGACCTAACGTGCTCGCCCAAGGAGGGACTCCCAGGGAACCTTGCCCGATGCAAACCTCCTGTGAGATCCCTCGCATTTGCCCAGAAGGACTATAGCACATAAACAAACGATGAATCACGCCCATGCCAAAATCATCACTGCCAGCCTGACATCTTGCCAAATTGCTCAACTTTTCACAAGCAACTGCACATGCTCTGTCAACGACTTTTCCGCGATGCATGTGCTGAGTGATCGCTGAGGGCATGTATCTGTGTTGAGCGAACATCTTGGCCAAATCTCTCGCGGGGCCTAGACAGATTCGGCCGAGAGACAAGCATCGCAAAATCTTGGAATTGATAGCGGTCCCAAATGGCGGAACACCCCAACAAGATGGATGGGTCTGAACAGACCTGCTGACATGTTACCCTATCGGGATTGGGTGCTTTGATGTATTCTCTTTTCCAGGCTAGACTTAGACCCCACGAAAACACAAAGCACAAAAGGCAACAAGGTCAGTCACGCATAGCAATGTTATCCTTTGACAACCATCCGCTCATCCAACCGCCTGCCTTGTGCACGAAGGTGGCATACAGTGAGCCTGCCCGAGTTGGACATTTCTTTCAACAGGGGGGTTCCAAACCCCTTTGCACTGGGCCAGACTTAAACCCCTTTCGACAAGACGGTTTTTTGCCGGTCGAAACAAAAGTCAAAAAGGCAAAGTTTGGCAACATGCAGGCCTTTCAAAGTGCACCTCTGGTGAAATGAATTTCTGCCAACACACATGCACACTGCGTCAGCTGCCCAGTCAATTTGCCCCAAACAGAAGTGGACATGGGAGGAGTGGCACTTTCATGAAATTGGTGTGGCCATGTGTGGTCCGACACCTAAGAAAGTTTGCTTCCGATGGAATGGTCTTCTCAACTCTCCCCACAATTAGATCATCCAATTGCATCCCAAATGGGGTTCGGTGAGCAAAGTGCGGAATCACGGAGAATAATCAGTTTCTCTCTCTCTCTCTCACCAAAGACCTGTTGGTGCGTTGATGTTTGCCGAAATTTTAAAGCAGTTGGGTATGTGCCAAAACCTAGAACCACTTGTCTGGCTTCTGTGCAGGAAGATCAACAAAAGACCGCTTGGAGGGTTAGATATGACTAGAGAAACCCTTAAAGCATGGCCTGTCCTCTTTTGGTTGCCAAACTGGGGCGATGAAAAACACATAATCTCCTTTTGGTTTCCCTTTCGGCGAATCAACGAGCTATTTGGCGACTAACCTCACGTCACTCTCGCGTGATCGGTGAGCCTGCGCAACCGGAGTTTCCATCTACAGTCTCAGTAAAACCACCCAAAAAGGGCAACCTCAAAACGACACACCCATATAAGAACGCGGTTTCGGGGTAGTGCGAATCTCATCTTAGTCATCACATACTTGGATGAACCAGCAGGAATTCGTGCGCCCCTGTTGATCGCGATCGTGCGCCACCCTCGCTTTCAGGCCCCTTTTGTGCGGGCAGCACAAACCCCAATCTCGCAAGAAAGTGGGTCTGCCGAATGCCGCGTGGCTTGCACTCAAAGAGCCATCGACGCAGACAACTAAACTAAAACGCCACTGACAGAGTACCCTGGGTGAGCGGGAAAAAATGCAACTTGCTTCAACATGGGACTGAACCACTGTTCAAAAGAGTATCCTTTGCATTTCCCTTTGGTGGTTTTGCTGGCGGACAGCAAATGCGAAGGACACAGGTGTCACAACTGGACTCCTGGGAGTGCGAAATATGAACCCATGGCCATGTTGGACCTGGGGGCTGGTTTCAAACGTGATTCAGCTACAAGTAACGCTGAACTCGCCAATGAACCAGGGGTTCAGAACAGGGTCCTATGGATGTGTCCATCTTGAGGATACCCTTTTCGAGGGTGAATTTGAAGAGCAACCAAAGCGAAAAGCGACATTCCAGGGTTCCCGGATTTTAAGACCTGTCGTCTTCAATTTCACCCTCGAAAAGGGTATCCTCAAGATGGACACATCCATAGGACCCTGTTCTGAACCCCTGGTTCATTGGCGAGTTCAGCGTTACTTGTAGCTGAATCACGTTTGAAACCAGCCCCCAGGTCCAACATGGCCATGGGTTCATATTTCGCACTCCCAGGAGTCCAGTTGTGACACCTGACCTGTGTCCTTCACAAGGATACTCTTTTGCCCAAAGGACCTGGAAACAAAAACATGGGTTGACTTTTTGCCAAACATGACGAAAAATGGGCCAAACATGGAAAACGCTTTTTCCTAGGTGAGTTCAGGTCAATTTGCTTTGGCCACTGGAGTGGGGACCGATATTTCGGTTACCTTCAGCCGATCCCGAACTCCGATCCGGAACTCCGATCCGAACCTGCGAGGCCCCCAATCTGGCCGGCGAAGACCAGGGCTGGGTAGGCCACCTTCCTGGTCTGCGGTTCCAAGCGGCAAAAGAAACCGAGAATCAACCTCCGGATTCGAAAAGGCCATGGGCCTTTCAAAATCCAAATCGGTTAGCCCCCAGTGAACATCCGATTCAATCCAACCACTAAAATAGGTTCTAAAATGGGTGGTGAATCCACCTACCCCAAAATGGGCTAACATGTGCCAGCCTCCATTGGCTCCGCTGGATCCCGGAATGCGCTTGCGTGAGGAAAGCGTGGTGCCCAAAGCTTGGGGAAGGGATTTCCGAAATGAACCCAAATGTGGCATCGACCACGGATAAAAAGGCTCTGAGTCATTACTTCCCCCATCTTCAGGTTTTCTTGGCCAAAGACTTCCCCTACAACACTCCCGTGACGTCTACGTCTTCCGCTGGAATGATGCATGCCTTGCGCCCGCGTTCTTTGCACGCTGCATGCCGCCTGCCTAGGTCATGACTGTTCCAGAGGAGGTTCTAGGGCTGTTGACATTGTGGGTTTGTCTCAAAAACAAAATGGATTTTGTTCTTTGGTTTCCCTTTAAAACACACCCGAAAAGGGTGCCCTCACAAAAAAGACACTCCATTTTCCTTGGACTGCTATTTTGTCAAAGCAGCGAGTACTGCGTCGAGGACAAGTCGTTCATCACCTGGGCATTGCTTTTTTCACATGCGCAACGGGTAAGGCCCGGTTGCTCCCTCCGAAGCTGAATCGATGGCGCCATCAACGGGTCCAAACACGGATCGGTTTTGTGGGGAATTCCAAGAGGAGCACTTGGCTCTTGGGCTGATGGACACAAAATAAGAGTTGAGGGAGATGACATCATGAGACACACACACACACACACACACACACACACACACACACACACACACACACACACACACACACACACACACACACACACACACACACACACACACACACACACACACACACACACACACACACACACACACACACACACACACACACACACACACACACACACACACACACACACACACACACACACACACACACACACACACACACACACACACACACACACACACACACACACACACACACACACACACACACACACACACACACACACACACACACACACACACACACACACACATAACAATACACACGCACAACACAGACAGACAAACAAACAAACAAAAAACAACAACAAAAAACAACTAAGCAAACAAAATACACACACACACGAACACAAACACAAACACAAACACAAACGCACACACAGACACACAAACACACAGACACACACACACACACTCTCACACACACAACACTCACACACACACACATGCACATGGGTGTGTTTGAGGGCAACCTTTTGAGGTTTTGTCTAGAACAACGAAACCTGTTCGTGGGGTTGCACCATCTCCTATTTTGAGACCAACCCACACATGCTTCTGTTCCCTCCTCACAGTTCCCCTCCTGTGAACCCTGGAGTTTTGACGTCGACCAAGATAAGTGTTCAAAACCACCTATGGTACCAGTTCAATAGATTGTCCCACGCGTCCGAGATCTGGATCACGGCATGAGTGGGTTTTCCTTGTGAATTTCTTGGGATCACGACGTACTCTTCAAGGGAAATTGCCGCGACTTCCTCGGACAAGGAGTTCCGATCCGCAATAGTGGGGGGTTCCGCATTGGTCAGGAAGCGGATCGTCTCAAACAGACACCGATGCCTCAAATGGCAACAAGGGAAAGGGCCTTGTCCGGGCCTGCGGACGCCATCCGATGTCATGGAGCCTCCCGTCCCGTAACCCGCTTACCCAGAGCCTGAGCCTTGAGGCTTGCTCCAAAGCCCCTGCACTTCTGCATTTGCAGGCTTTGCATCTGTTGCGTGCCATGGTGCTCAACACATACTGATGTAATGCAATTTGGTCCAAGGAAACCAAGCCGAACTTCTATCCTTGAGCGTTGATCTGTGGGGGCACCCCTGTCGCTCCGTCCCCAAAGGAAACCCAGCCAGACTTGGGGAAAACTCTGGTCCTTTGGATCTAGGGTCCGGACGCTCCAGAGCATCACGGGGAAGAGCACGGATTTGGTGTTGGTGGTATAGAAGAGGATCCAGGCCAGCCTCAGATTGGGAATGGGCCTAGGAAGCGCAACGAGTAGTTTGAAAAAGGTATTGCCTGGACGGAATATGTATGTATTTATATATATATATATGGTCACACACCCCAGAACCCACCTTTCTACATTTGTATGTGTATATGTATATATATATATACATACGTATATACACAATTATAATATATATATATATTCATATATGTATATAAATATCACGTGTATATATATATATATATATATGGTCACCCCCCCCATGAACTACATTTGCATTGCTCAGTTTATATAACCCTTACAAAACACTGGTATTTACAATGTTTTCTACATGTTTTGGAAGTACAACTGCAAGAAAATACCGGCCGGATTTCGGCCCTCAACCAATTGTATCTCAGCAGTAGACAGTGCAAAAAACACTGAGTTTTTGAACATTTGTTTGGCCGAGTGGTAAAAAACCTCCATTTTTTGATGGTTTTTTGTTTTTGAGCTCCATAAGCTCAAAAAACTAAAAAAAACTCAAGGAAAACCAAAGAAAACCAAAAAGACCCCGAGAAAACCAAAAAACCAAAAAAAACCAAAGACTTTGGCTGGTTTTGGAAGACTGCTTTGGTTTTTTGGTTTTCTCGAGGTGTTTTTGGTTTTCTTTGGTTTTCCTCGTTTTTTTGGTTTTTTGAGCTTATGGAGCCCAAAAACCAAAAAACACAGTGTATTTTATGGTTTTGGTGGGTAAGCACTGTGCACAAACCAAAAAACACATGTTTTTTGGTTTTTGGACTCCATAAGCTCAAAAAACCAAAAAAACTCGAGGAAAACCAAAGAAAACCCAAAAAACCTCGAGAAAACCAAAAAACCAAAGCAGTCTTCCAAAACCAGCAAAGTCTTTGGTTTTTTGGTTTTTTGGTTTTCTCGAGGTTTTTTTGGTTTTCTTTGGTTTCTTCGAGTTGTTTTGTTTGTTGTTGGTTTGTGGTGTGTTGGCCAGTCTATTTGAAGAGGAGGTGCTCTTGGACACTTCCGCATCACTTCCTCATCACTTTTTTATTACATCGTCACTACTTCATCACTTCCTCATCACCTCCGCATCACTTCTGCATTACTTCGTCACTGCTTCATCACTTCCGCATCACTTCCTCATCACTTCCTCATCATTTCTTTATTAACACTACTTCATCACTTCCTCATCACTTCCTCATCACTTCTTCATCACTTCCTCATCACCTCCTCATCACTTCTGCATTACTTCGTCACTGCTTCATCACTTCCGCATCACTTCCTCATCACTTCTTTATTACATCGTCACTACTTCATCACTTCCTCATCACTTCCTCATCACTTCCTCATCACCCTCCTCATCACTTCTTCATTGCTTCGTCTCTGCTTCATCATTGCTCCCTCATGACTTGTTCACTTCTTGCTCAGAATATGGTTGACATGTCTTCACATTTCCTCAACATTTCCTCATCCAGATGCATTTGGTGTTATCTTTGGCACTTGGTGGATGCAGACACAGACCTCCGATGAACAAGGACAAGTTGGTGTTGGCAGACTTGACAAGTTCAGACGCAGATGAGCAGATGGATCAAAGACACATGCCCCAAATGTAGTGTTGGCAGACTTGACAAGTTCAGACGCAGATGAGCAGATGGATCAAAGACACATGCCCCAAATGTAGTTCATGGGGGGGGGTGTGAGCATATATATATATATATTGTATATATATATATATGTGTATATAAATATATGTGTATATAATAATGTACATATAGAATATACATTAGTTGGCCTCAGGGGCATGGGGAAACTAAGATCGCCCCTGGTTTTGGTGCGACATTTTGGGATTGCCCCAGGTCTCTGTGCTAAGACTAGGGTTCGTCCCCCACCGGATTTTATGAGAACATATTAGTCAGCTCCATAGACAGGCTTCATATTTTGATGGAACCTGATCTGGGTTGCGGCAAGACCTCGCCCCCCTTTTGGGACCCGACAAGGGCAAAAGCGGGGGCTGGTCTTTATCAAAGGGCCAGAGCCAAAAGTAAAAGGGGTCTAAATGGACCTACAAATCAAATCACTCAAAGTGTGCATGTTCATCGAGTCAGCGGGGACGCGTGCATGTTCTCAAAGCAAGGTTAAACAGTTAATGGTGACACCACAAAGCGACGGTCGCCGAGAAGCCAGGCAGGCACATGGCTGTGCACCATGGATTGGAACGCAATGGCAGCATAGACGATGGCATAGGTGATGCATACCTGGGAAGCTTGTTGTCGCTCGTGTCAGCTTCCCTCCCGTCAATGCACAAGAGGCCCTACTCTCCAAGCTTGATGCCCCAAACGTGACAAGTAACCAACTGCAGACCTTGGCATTTTTTTGTCACAAGCCCCTTGAGTCAGCTGGCCTGCAAAGAGCCTGACGCAGCAGCAAACACAAACCAACAAGCCAAGCAAAAATGAAACAGCTAACAACGCCCACACAAGCAAACCACAAAGCAAACAACCACAAGCCAACGAGCAAAACAAATCAAGCAACACTCATGCAGCAACTCAAAAAGCAACACGAGTAAGACCCTCCCAAGTCAAGCTGCTATCAGCACCAGGAGTTGCGGACTTCTGAGCGCCGCCCACAAAAAGTTGTAGACGAAGAGGATGGGAAAAAGCACCAGCCTTCAGCCGCCAGCTTGGGACATGCCTGCCTTTGCCTTAAGTTGGCGTTTAGCAGCTACGCTTAGCACACATCTGGAGATCTGTCAATGGGTGAGCCACACTGGGAAGGGTTGTGCTAGCATTCTTAGCAGGTACCCTTAGCACACCATTTGGAGATTACAAATTGTTCAATAAGTGAGTCATACTGGAAAGGGCTGTGCTATCCGATTGCTACTCAAGGTCAAAGGCGTACCAGTCATACCGTTTCAAGGAAGGTCTCTTTGGAAACTGTTTTTAGGCACAACACACCAGAGAAAACCACAAGAAGCTATGCAATCCCCACGAAAAACTACATAATCCTTACTAACCGTGAAAAATCCCTGAAAAGATCTCGCCCCCCCCCCCCCCCAAAACAAAACGCACAGCGCCAACCCTGCAAGGCCCTCACAGCAGCAGCTGCTCCACTCATATCAGGACAGTATTTGCAGCATGTTGATCCTCATTCCAACTTGTTAGCAACCGTTTCCCAACTCTTTTCCACGAGTTTCCCAACTTGTCCCAAGTTTTGCCCTGTTCTCAACGGCTACCCAACTTGTCTCAACCTTTTCCCAACCTTTTCCCAACTGTTCCCCGACTGTTTTCCCAACCTTTTCCCAACTTGTTCCCAACCTTCTCCCAACAAACTTGTTCCCAACCTTCTCCCAACCTTTGTCCCAACCTTTCTGCCAACTTCGTTCCAACGTGTTCCCAACTTTTTCCAACCTTTCTTCACATGTTTTCTCAATTTGTTCCCACAAGCAAATTGCCTCAGCATGCCCACATCAATGGATCAGTGCCCTGATGATGAACCCAACTCCAGAAAATTCCTTAGTTCTGGTCAACACTCTCAACCGGCTTTTTGTCGATTTTTATGCAGCCGTGAACAATCAGAAAAATCACTGAAAGACCTCATTTGAAAAGGCCTGAATGGCTTTTTAAAGACAAAGGCGAGCAGCAAGTTTCTTCTCAGTGAGTTGCCATATTTGTTGAGTTCTCCGGCCACAATGGATGCTTAGGCCAAGAAGCCTCTGACTTGGTCGACCCTACTCGGGGTCTAGCGATGCTGGGAACATGTTTGTCCTTTGGTGCTAGCTGGAGTCCGTTTATTGGAATGTGATTGGGGTCCCCTGAAGAGACCTTGAATAGGAACTTGAAAAGGGCTTGTACATGCTTTGGCTAGTTGGGTTACACCTCCCTATTCCGTAAACTCAACCCAACCGGTCGGTTCAGGTCGAGTGTCAAGGGATTTCTTCTTGAAAAGGGTGCTCAGGGCAACCTGATCACAGCTCACCAGCTTGCTATGAGGACATTGTGTTTACTGCAAACGCGTCGGTTGATTGTTTGTTTCCCACAGCTACACTCACAATTTGGCAAAGGGTAAGGGGCCCGTAGTAAGGGGCGCCTTAGGCAAAGGCGCGCTTCCTGCAATTGTCATACGGTCCCAACCACCCCCCCTTCAATAACACCCCAAAAGCCTCGCGATTTCCTCCAAATGAGACATTCATAAGGCCTTGTTGAAGTCTGGTTGTCTGGGATAACGCGGGAGGGGCTGGAACGCTATGATTCTTCCTGGGCAATGAATATGACTGATTCCCTACTCTGAAACCAAATTGGAAACACGTAGCATTTCGCGAATCCGTACTAACAAGGGCGGCCCAACGTGCCCTCCCAAAAGTCCACCCGTGTGAAGCAACAGATCTAGCATACCAATGAGACGTGCGACGTGTTGCTCACGATCCAAACAATTGCCTTCAATCCTGAAGGCAACTTTCCACCCCGTCCCTTAACACTCATCGACAAAAAGGGATCTGGATGTCTACCCCAAGAAGCACGAAGAATCAAAAGGAGTAACACACAAATGTCTAGTCGGGACTGTACCTTGCCATCCTTCAAAAACTTAGTTGTTCATTTTGGCCAGACCTTGATGATCTGAAAGGGGAAAATAAATCAGGAAACCCAAACGAGCAGAATTGTGAATTTGAATGGTGGACCCCCGAACCATCATTTTTGGGCTGCCCTCAGATCCCCTGCTACAGTTTTACTTTTAGTGTGTTAAATGACAATCCCCGTTAAACCCTAAACAGTTAAAAGTTAAGGGGACGATTGACAGCCACCAAGATTTGGTTAAGACTGCCGCCGAGCAGCGGCAGGTAGGTCTGTGCAATAGGCTGCTGATCTACTCCGACCTCGCGATGGCGTGTGTTTCTTTCCCCACGGCTGACAGGTGTTGGAAGATCCGAAGAAGGCCTATCGGCTTCCATGTCGGACAGTTGCTTTGGCAGCGGACACACTTGGTTCTGCAGGTTGAGGAATCCATAGTGAGGACAGGGAGCATTCACGCGCCTGGAAATATGATAATAAATCCATGCCCCTTTGCTACGAGAAACTCTGAACCACCCAGCTATTTTGCGCCCGAACCCTGGGGGAATGTCTGCACTCTGGAGTTCGAGCTCGGGCCCCGTGAAGGTTTCCCTTGGAGGGTTTAAAACACAACCACCACAAGGAAGTGCACAGTTGTTTACTTGCTAGCAGCGTCATTGGGCCCGTAACAAGTGGAAAGCCAAGAAACCATCACAGGTGTTGTGCCCCCGCATGGTCGCCGATTGGTCTCCAGTTGGTGGGCAATCCAGGTAAGCTGCCTGCCGGGCCCGAGCTATCGCACACAACTAGTGAGATGGACAACTCAGTTGTTCAGTGACCCTTAAAAGAAAGGGAACCCTTTTTGGGGACCATTTTTCGTGGGCAGCCACTAAAAAGGGGGAAAAAAGGGTGCCACTGAACAACTGAGACAAGTAAGCAAACCTATGGTTGGTAAGGGCATTACCATCAACATGACGAGGTCGCAATGGGCTCACACTGAATCCATGCCCATCCAATCTTGAACATGAGCGGCCTATTGGGCCAATTGATCCGTTGCTTAAGTCAGAATGCCCAATTGACAGGCTTAGCCGATATCTTGTTTACAGCTGAAGAGCATGCGGGAAGATGTGTGTTGGCCTTTTCAAGCAAAACCCGATGGCCTCTAAGATCCTTACAAATAGTTTCCCGGGCCTTGAAGTGACATCCACAAAAAAACATCAAATGGGTCAAATAGGGGCTCAAAATTGGTGTTCAAACCATCCCAAAAGGGCTACTCGCAAAAACACGCGCACCCAATTTGCGGTTTACAGGAAACGCTGCCCCCCCCCCTCTCGGGGGACCCCCCCTCCCCATCAGAAAGGAAAACAAGGCATCTGAGGGTTTTTGTATTACACCCTGGGAGTACACCCAGAATGATGTGAAATAACACGGGTTTATCCGGAAATGTACCTAAATGGGGTCAATACCCAGTGGGTGTATTCCCAGGGTGTAATACAAAAACCCTTTAGCAAATAATTATAGGACTATTAATAATAAGCGAAGCCCTCAACATGTCTTCCCACTTAAGACGATTTCTCGGCGCCTCTGCGGCTTCCGGCGTCGCTAAAGGTGTGACACTGTAGCCGGTCCACTCGAACAACTTTTGGACCTTCATTCGGCGTCCTTTCCCCTTCCCAGACGTTTCAGCTTGCGAATCCGCCCAGAACATCGCAAAGATAGCACATAGCTGCCCCCAATCCACCGGGAGTCCGAACACCTTACATGCACATCTGGGAATACGAAAACTGCTCATAAAGCTCCCTGAGTGGGATCCTGCTGCGACGAACCGATCGAAGAGCGCATCATGGCTATGCTGCATCCGTCTGCTAATCCCTTTTAGTCCAGCTGCAACCCATTGAAGTTCAGTCCACACCTGGGTGTTGCTTTTTTTTTGAGGGCCCGCATTTTGGGGCTGATTCTAAAGGGAAACCGAACCCATGTGGCGGGTCTAAAATAGACGCACTGAAGATGGTGCTCCCAGAAATATGTCCACCTTTGGAGGACTAATTCCCAAGGATGCCGGGGGGGTCTGTTTTATTGTTGAAGGACACCCTTGGGGTGACACACCTGCACAAAAGTCCGCCCTTGTTTAACCATCGTGCAAACCACGGCCTTAACAAAAACGGCCTGGGAAAACCTGCAGGAAGGTCACTGGATGTCACTGGCTTCGCCAGGCCACAGAGTCCACAAAGGTGGAGATGGTCGCCGGGTTAATCATCAAGCCTCAGAAAGCGGCCCAGTGGCCAGCCCTTTTTTTGGGGGGGTACCCCCGTTTTTTTGGGGGATCCTGGGGGGTCCAGGACCAACAGGCAAACCGCAAGCCTGTTGGGGCCTCCGATCAGAAAACAAATTGGGCACCCTGGCCTCGCTGGCGCAAAGTGGGCAGTGGGAACTCAGTCAAGAGGGTGTCCCAAGTTAGCTTCGAGCTTCCACTTTTTGGGGGTTAAAAAACTAATCCGAAGCCAACAGTGCGTGTTTGGAGTTGGTCCCCTTTGCAGGCTGGATGCAAGGGAAACACGGAAACACACAATTCTTCTCGCGCCTATTTTGACACTCACTTGCGCCGGAGGGCGTTTCCGCACGAGGCCTTGGGGAAATGGGGTGGTCTTAACCCTTGTCCAACAATCTCCGAACAATACCTGGTTTCTCGAAAAAGAAGGCCAATGCATCCCAACGAATACCACTTGCCCAGGGGTTGTGCGAAATTCAGTGCCCCCCCTCCCCAAACCTCCAAACTACCAATATTGTCAGTTGCTCGCATGTGAGCAAACCAAGGACAAGAAACAACACCTAAGTTGTGGATCATCAGCGCTCCCTTGAAAGGAAAACTTCTGACGGTCTAGTTAGTCTACAGGATCTTGAAGATGGACATAAGCAATACCCTTTGCCCAGGATCATATCATGTGAAGTTTGCTCCAAGGGGAAATCCGCTTAGCCACACTTTGGGCGTGTCTTTGGGGAGGAAATCTTTTGCGGGTCCATAATATGTCCCAATCAAACATCAACTCACCCCGACTGGCCCAAAAAGGTGGTCTTTGCATACCCACCCTTTGGGAGAAATCTCTCCCTGGACCGACCAAACACGTTATAAGTTAGGGGACATTTTGGACGACAGGGGCATTGTACACTTTGTAGGGAAACTGCTCATGGATCTGAACCATTCTTTTGGCAAGTTGCCTCTCATCTGCACAAAACATACATGGGTATGCCCCAAAGCTTGTGGATCCAACTGTTGGCTTCCCTTTGCCAAGAAAAAATACCCTCAAAATCACCCCCGCAAAAAGCAACACATACATGGGTGTGCCATGTTCCTTTCGGTTTCCCTTTGCCACACAAAAACAACTGCCACAGAAACACATGGCCATGGGTCAAAAGCCCGTACCCCGGTGAACATCCCAATCCCAACTAATATAGGTCCTATAATGGGTGGTGAATTCACCTACCAACCAAAATGGGATCCCATTTGTTTTGACAACCACAGCCACATCCCAACACATACATGGGTGTGCCATGTTCCTTTCGGTTTCCCTTTGCCACACAAAAAACAACTGCCACAGAAACACACATGGCCGTGGGTCAAAAGCCCGTACCCCAGTGAACATCCCAATCCCAACTAAAATAGGTCCTAAAATGGGTGGTGAATTCACCTACCAACCAACATGGGATCCCATTTGTTTTGACAACCACAGCCACATCCCAACACCTACATGGGTGTGCCATGTTCCTTTCGGTTTCCCTTTGCCACACAAAAACAACTGCCACAGAAACACATGGCCATGGGTCAAAAGCCCGTACCCCGGTGAACATCCCAATCCCAACTAATATAGGTCCTATAATGGGTGGTGAATTCACCTACCAACCAAAATGGGATCCCATTTGTTTTGACAACCACAGCCACATCCCAACACATACATGGGTGTGCCATGTTCCTTTCGGTTTCCCTTTGCCACACAAAAAACAACTGCCACAGAAACACACATGGCCGTGGGTCAAAAGCCCGTACCCCAGTGAACATCCCAATCCCAACTAAAATAGGTCCTAAAATGGGTGGTGAATTCACCTACCAACCAACATGGGATCCCATTTGTTTTGACAACCACAGCCACATCCCAACACATACATGGGTGTGCCATGTTCCTTTCGGTTTCCCTTTGCCACACAAAAAACAACTGCCACAGAAACACACATGGCCGTGGGTCAAAAGCCCGTACCCCAGTGAACATCCCAATCCCAACTAATATAGGTCCTATAATGGGTGGTGAATTTACCTACCAACCAAAATGGGATCCCATTTGTTTTGACAACCACAGCCACATCCCAACACATACATGGGTGTGCCATGTTCCTTTTTGTTTCCCTTTGCCACACAAAAGAACTGCCACAGAAACACACATGGCCGTGGGTCAAAAGCCCGTACCCCAGTGAACATCCCAATCCCAACTAAAATAGGTCCTAAAATGTGAATTCACCTACCAACCAACATGGGATCCCATTTGTTTTGACAACCACAGCCACATCCCAACACCTACATGGGTGTGCCATGTTCCTTTCGGTTTCCCTTTGCCACACAAAATAACTGCCACAGAAACACACATGGCCATGGGTCAAAAGCTCGTACCCCGGTGAACATCCCAATCCCAACTAATATAGGTCCTATAATGGGTGGTGAATTCACCTACCAACCAAAATGGGATCCCATTTGTTTTGACAACCACAGCCACATCCCAACACATACATGGGTGTGCCATGTTCCTTTCGGTTTCCCTTTGCCACACAAAAACAACTGCCACAGAAACACACATGGCCATGGGTCAAAAGCCCGTACCCCAGTGAACATCCCAACCCAACTAATATAGGTCCTATAATGGGTGGTGAATTCACCTACCAACCAGAATGGGATCCCATATACATGGGTGTGCCATGTTCCTTTCGGTTTCCCTTTGCTACACAAAAACAACTGCCACAGAAACACACATGGCCATGGGTCAAAAGCCCGTACCCCAGTGAACATCCCAATCCCAACTAAAATAGGTCCTACAATGGGTGGTAAATTCACCTACCAACCAAAATGGTATCATTGGTTTTGACCCGCCACCAAAATAGTTGGTTGTGTCTTGCTTTTTCCCTCTTTGACAACAGCCACACAAACACACATCCTCCTGGGTCTCAAGATGCCTGTGCCCAACACCAGCATCAGCGCCAGCGCGAAGAAGAGGTAAGCGATACGCCAGGCATCCGGCAGCTCCCGCAGCAGCTGCCTTGGGTCTTACTCGAGTGGATTGGCCCCCAAAAAAAGGTTTTACTTGGCAGTGACATGGTCCAACAAAAGTAACCGAACGGTTTATTTTACGATAACATGGTCCAATGGTCCACCCAAAAGTGGCTAAAGTCCAGGAACTCAGGATGTGAGGGCTGCAGGGAACCCGTGCCAAAATTGCTCTCCGTTTTTCGGCTTAGCCCAGTGCCGCCGCACCCCATTGCCCAATGGTGTTGCTCTCTTGAAGGGGGAAACTCCGCTAGTTTCACGCGTCCCTTCTTGTTGGCTTAACTTGAGGGGCTGTGCCCCGAATGCCGTTTTATGCTGGCTTGTTCCAGACGGAAACTCCACACCTCGTGCCACTTGTCCCTTGTTTTGTTCCCTCACAATCCCTGTATGCCCTTGGTGTCACTCCTATTTTGGTGTTGGCTGATCTTGAAGGAAAGGCCCACGCTTCCTGCCCTCGAGCTCCCTTTCGTGCTTGGCTGGTCAAAAAAAGAGAAGCGCCGCACTTTGTGTCACTTTCCTTGTCTTAACCGGACCCCCTCCCGCGTTTTTCTATGGCTTATCCTAAAGGCACACCTCCCTCTGCCAGTTTTACCTTCCGCGCTGAAAAGGAAAACAGAGTGCCACCTCTGCCAGAAGCCTCCCTATGACCTGATCTTTCAGGGCCGGGTGCGCAAAGTACGTATGTGGTCTCGTTTTCCTGCTCATACTCCCTTTAGTAGGGAAAGAATACGAAGCCAGGTGCTTCATTTTGGGAGCCCATCTGGGCGCAATGGTGGTCAGTATTTGTCAGTTTATCAGTGGGGCACTGAAAACCCCAACATCCAAAAGGCCAAACCGGGTTGACTTTGAGAGTTGCAATCTGGCCCCTGGACTTTGATACTTCCCCCTGCAGAAAAACAAAAAACAGGCACCCCAAACTTATTTCAACTCTGAGGGACGCTTTCAGACACCCTTGGCTACTGGTCAAGCCTCCCGCCCCCCCCCCCAACAAGGAGGATACCACGAAAAGCACAAGGGGGTGGTTTGATCGTCGTTTCACTTGAGGCTGGATCGGGACCATTCCCGAATAAACCCTTGTCTTGCCTGGGGTATTCAATGGACCTCAGCAGCGTCTTTACCAATGGGGTTGGGCATGGTAAACCCAATTACGTCACGCTCACACTGTGGATGGACACTATGCTGGGTACTGTAGTGTATCCCAGTATCCATACGATTGTATCCAACCCCAACTGGGGCAGGAATTTGCCCATCTACGGAAGGGCCATGTCATGGCTCATAGCATCTGTTCATCATGTGCGACGCGTCATACATGGCCCAGAGGGTCCAAGTACCTCAAGAGGATGGCTTTTAGGGCGTAAAAAGGGGTCTAAGTTCCTCCTTAGAAGGTACTTGGACCCTCTGGGTGGGTACTCCTCATCTATGTTGTGATCCGATCCATGGTCGTACTCCAGCCTGTCCACCCAGCTAGCTTGCTGCTGCTGCTGCTCCGCAGGCAGCATGGCGAGCAGCAAAAGACCGCGCAGAACTCGCAAACGATTTGGTCGGGAAAAAGCGCCGGCAACTGAGATGCTGGATGTCCGGCTGGTCTAGGCAGCTTTCCGAGTGAACATGGGAATTTGAGTCCATAAAACACAAGCTGAAGCTTGTTGGACTTGAGACAATTGCTAGCAACTCCTGACAGCTCCACGAAAACAGGTCTCTGCCACTCTGCCACAGGTAGACCTGTTTTGTACATGTTGAACTTGTTCAAGTAAAGCTACGGCTGCGGTCGTCATGCGTCGGTCGCTTGGTGCAGAGAAGGGAGCCCCAAGGATGGGTCCATCAAGTTCTGACATTGTTGCGCGAGGTTTCCCTTTAAGCCATTCAATGAGCTTGAGGATGCCACTCAAATGGACCCAAGGTCAAATTTAAGTTCGATGTATTTGTTCAGTGATCTTTTGCATTGTCCAAATCTCGGGCTCTTCAAACGTCGATTTTGGAATTCGGGGGAACGGTTCGAGAAAGGGAGAACCGTCCTGATCCAGAAGGGGGACCCAAAAATTATGGTCCTTGTGGTTTCCCACTAAAGTAAACACAAAAAGGTCACCAAGTACTTGCAACCATGAAAGGAGCCCAATGCTTCCAGGGTCAAGAGAAAGATGGATGGAAGGCAAGATCTGGGTTTGTCTCCTGAAAAGAACCAAGTGGGTGGACCCTGCGAAACCACCCTCAAAAGGGGCACCGCATCTCAACAAAGAGACACATCCTGGGAGCGGGGCAAGCTGCAAAGAGTCCCTGCCGGGTTAACAGGTAAGTTGTGCCTGGCTTTGTGATCCCCAAGTGGGCCACACATCTGATGTTTCTCGAACCCACCGATTGCCAAATGCCGCCCGTTGGCTGTCAGTTCTGACACCTATCGTGTTCTCGCGTGACCCGGCAAAAAGTCGCACCCTTCGAAGATTCTCAATAGAAGATCCGATCGATTCCAAGCGATCCGACCGGACCGGGGTTTTGTTCGGATTCAGGTGGGGATGTTCTTATGAACATGTTTGGGAGGGGGTTGTAACCCAACTGTTCAAAGGGCACCAAACTCGTTGTTAGACCCGTCCTAAGTGCCCTTTGATTCTTTGTCGGGGCTTCAACAAAGCTCTGGTCCGGGCCTTGACAAAATTGACACTGTCGGCGGCCATGCGCCCCACTTTTTGCAAGCTCTTCGAGCTGCCATCCGCGAAGAAATCCCCGCAAAGCGCCGGTCACGCCGCTGGGCTTGGGGTCCTTCAGTCCAAACCCTTGGGGAGAACACGCGCCAATCTACTTCGTACAGCACAGTATAAGCACAGTTGCATAGATTTGAGATGCAACTGATGCTTCACAGATCAGTCCAGATATCATCAATTTCATTGAGTGTAACCGTGTAACCTTCATTCCAAATGGGGTTGCAGGCCCGAACAGCGAGGTCGCTGATGTATCGCTTGCAACAAGCTCAACTTGCTAACTGAGTTGATATGCACAACGTTCCCCTCTTGCGGAATAGGTTGGTTGATGCAAGAACACACCAATGACACGTGGCCGCGCCCTCTGAAAAAATGCTTCGTTCCGTGCCAAACATTCGACTGCAATTGAGCCTGGGCTCAACCGCTAAACAAACCCTCCTCAAGTTCGCACTTCCAGCGCTGCCTTGAAAGCTTTCCCAAGACGGGGGTTTCCAAAAAACAACTGCAAAAAAAGGGGTTGGACGTGTTCCCAATAAACACTGAAAGGGGCAATCACCGCTACCTTTTGTTGCTTCCAAAACCGAGTGAATTTGGCTTTGGACAGCCGCTTTTTGCCGCCTACACATTTTTGGATCACCTTCACATAAACTACAAGCCTTTCCGGACAAAAAACAATGCCACTTTCAATTCATTCACTTACGCAATGCCCGCCCACAGCCACGCAGATAGCCCCAAATTGAATGTTTGAGCATACATATATGTATGTATGTATGTATGTATGCATGTATGTATGTATGTATGTATAACAATGTTATACCATACATACTTATCAAAGTACTTGTGCGTATGCATAAGTTAGATGGGTCGAGAACCTGGAAATGGAGCATTCCCCATTGATTCATCAGTCCAAAGCGGACAATTTGCCTCAAAGCAAGACCAGACCATCCCCAAGCTAGCTGCGGGGCCAGCGAAGAGTGCGTCGAGCGTCGAGGCATTGAGGCATTTCGGGCAAGCCCCGATCCGAATCCATCAAGAATACGGTTCGTGAATCAGCAGGGATGTCCTGGTCTCGAGCCTAACGGCCAGTTGGGGGTGACACGTACCTATTTACTCAAGTTAATCGTTACTTCGCTTAACGACCACCTTTGGCTGGCGTCTTTCCTGCCAAATGCTTTGCGCGGCTTCGCATTCGCGATCTATTGTGCCTTTGTTCAGGCCATCCGCCATGTCCCTGGTGTCCAACCAGGCAAGACTTGCCACCTGCTTCTCCAGCATCTCCGCAGATCAAAGCCGAGGAGTCCGTCGGCGTCTTCACCTCCACCGATGCCACACTGTCCTGCACGGACTTTGCATCTATTGCTGCCATCAACAGTAGCGCGTTCTTGCCCTGCAGGACCCATGTGCGCTCGACATCTTGAACTTAGAAACCTACAAGTTGGATGGCGTTGGCTGCCTTACCATGAGAAGTGGTTTGGTCCTGCTGATGAACAAGCCCGGCATTCAGGTTGGCACCAATCATTGCCAACTGGTGGTTTTCGTGGCCAAGAAGCAGACGCGTGTTTGCAGAAGCACGTACGTAGCGGAATTGCTCAGCTTGCTGGATTTGCTTGGGCACGCTCTCAACATCAATCTAGCTCTCAGCTTCCCCTGATATGCCGCAACGTCCGGCCGCGTCTGCGCTGTCCAAGCGACGCCACCAAGCAATGATCTGAAGGAACTTCCAAGTTGCTCATCCACAAGAGCTTCTTCATTCATGACCTTCGCCACATCCTAGCTTGAAGCCGCCAGCTATGGCTTCATGGTGATTCCAAAGGCGAAGTGCAGCCAGTAGGTTCCTGGGTGTCGTGAGCACATGGCTCCGCTACCAAATCAGAAACGGGGTGTGAAACCAACCCGCGCACATGCTGCGCTTTTCCCAGCAGGGATGTCCTGGTCTCGAGCCTAACGGCCAGTCGGGGGTGACACGTACCTATTGACTTCGTGGTCCGTCAGTGTGTTAAGAAATGTTAGGATGCAAGAAATTAGACCCTCCAATGGAATTATTGGAATTATTTGAGGCTCTCAAATGCTCCAAAAATGGAAAACAAGTCCTTACTGAAACTTTAGTTCTATCCGATCCGCAACTCTCAGCCCTAGTGTGGTCGCTTTTTCGTCTGAGAATTGGGTGCTCGCGCTTTTGGGGCAACAGCGTCCAATTTCCAAACTCTGAGCCAGAGGTGTGGAAAGTTGTCAAAAATGTGTTCGAGGAAAATCTGTAGGTCACCAATTTTGATTTTCCTCGTGCTGCACCTTCAGATGTAGTACATGTGGCCATCTAGAAAAACTTTGCAATCTGAAGAAGTCTTCCTTTGCTGGCTTGTCTCATAGTATGACTCTCTGGCTCAGTTGGCAGTGGACTGTGTCGCCACAGGCAGATGGGATGAGGCTAGATTACATCAGCACGAGGTAAACCGAGGTTGGCGACCAAATCTTCCTCGAAGGTTTTGACACCTTACACCTCAGGCCTCTGGCTCAGTTTGGAAATTGGAGCTCCCCAAAAGCGCGAACACCCGGAACTCTTATGCCCAGCAAAGGAAACCAAGGTGGTCAAAACCAACCCGACACCCAAGGCCCCCAACCAGGTTCAAACCAGGCCCAACCACACTAGTGCACCAAAGGCAAGACCAACAAGGGCTGAGAAACACCTTCTTTCAATAACCAAAACTAGAAATCCCGTCAAGACTCTGGATTAAGACAGCTATTTATTATTCCCCATCAAATGTTTAAGAAATATTCCAGTCCCTGGTCCAAACACGCGGTTTTCTTAACATACCGATCGGCCGTAGTGTCTCTATGGGTTTGCTGTTTGGCCCCCGTTTCAGTCCATAAATAAGACCCCTAGACCGTAAAGTGTCCAACCTCTGCAAGGGGAGCAAACAGCATTTCTCTCCCAGTCCTACTGGGCAACTCTCCTGTGACAGAACCGCTGGCTCCCAAATATTTGTTTCCGAATGTGGCCGGGTCTTCTCGAAATGGTAATCACGTATCCAAACATGGCGACGGCTTCCTGTTGGCTTTCCTTGCTCACAGGGAGCAACCAATCCTGGGTGAGGGGTCTGGACAAGAATGCTGCTTGGCTCATTTGCGACAACCTCCCTTGTAGGACAACCCAAGATTCCTTGCAGGTTTGGTTTTTGACCCTCGAGTGATGAAAGGACCTTCAGAGTCTTCTACACATTTACAGTCATTCTAAGGGCCAGGCTGCATCTCCTCAAGCAATACCATAAGGCAAATCCAATCTCAGGGGGCCAACTGGCTTTCACACAAAATCAGCTTCCCCCTCAAGTTTGGTGGTTTGGAGTGCCCCAATCACCACCAACTTTCCCTGATCAAGGCCTCTCGGTTTTTCGGCTTCCAATGAGCCCTCGCTTGCCTCGCCCCGAGGTCTTTGCCTCGGATCGAATGGCCCATCTTGAGGAACCATCGGGGCGTGTGAAAAAACGCCCTCGGGGGCACGCCAGGCCGATGTGGACTGTTCGGGGTAGAGACAAGATCAAAAGGTGGCCGGTTTTCGTTTGAGGATGATCCAGGCCTTCCCTCTGGTTGGGGCCATAAGGCACAATGGTGATTCGCTGGTGGTCGGTGTCAACCAGGGAACTAACAAATGAGCAATTGCCCATTCCCTGTTGGTTTCCAATTCAAACTAGGGCTGTTTAACACCCAGATTGGCTTTCAAGAGAAATCCTCCCGACACAATCTGCAAACACAGAACTTGCGCTGGATGTCGCGAACATGAACCTATGGGATCCTTCCCACTGTGTCCCTTCCGCAATTATCGAAAGGGTTCGTAAAAAAAATCCTCGCGTCTGAAGGTTGCTCCAGTCTGGTGAGAAAGATCCCTGAAACGAATGATGGAAGTACAGCAGGCAAAACTAGGCCATGTGCAACTTGGTGAAATTCATGTACACACAACACACGAATGCGGATCCACCTGGGTGTTAAGGAGAGGTGAAAGGAACCCGGTAGTTTCCTCGAAGGTAACAACTCAGGGTTGCTACCAGCGTGCCATGGGGGATTGGAGGCTGTCATAAACTCAGTTGCCCAGAGGACCTGGAAATCAAAGGGTAACTTTTGCGCAACTTGACTACAAAGACGAAATCAGGGAAACCAACAGAGTATATGAAATGTCGGCCTTGGGCAAATAAGACCAAGAAATCTGTCCCAATGTCACACCCCACCTGTCATTTCCCTTTTTCGAACGGGGTCACAAAAGCGCCCCTGGTGGAACCCTCATTTAGCGCCCGGCCCTCGCGCAAGCGCGCAAACGATAAAGTTCCAAGCCCGGCACGGGGAATCGACCAAACAAGTTCATGAGTTCCACAAATTAATCCAACCCAATTGCAAACCATTTTATGCCCAGGAACCTTTGACCTCGTCGAGCCCTGGTTGACGTTCCCTATGTTCAAACAAACCCACACCGCTCCACAGCTTGGTTCCCTTCTCCGCAACGAGACAACACTCAATTAAGTGGTGGCGGTGTCCATTGGTACCAACTTGGTTGTGGGTTTCTCAAGATTTTGCCCCACCCAGGGATCCAAAAGGAAACCAACACCACTTTGGAGAAACGTCAACACGTTTAGTTTGACATCAAGCGGGAAGCGCGCTCGAACTGGCTCTTTTGCCCATTTGCATAAAAATGGAAAGCCATCCCCGAAAGCTCATCGGCTGCCTCCAAAGTTGCTGACAAGTCGGTGTCAAATGGCTTTTGCTCGTTCAATGGGAAATGAAGGAAACAGAAAAAACAAGCACTCCCAAACAGCTTTTTGCACGCTAAAGGAGATGAAGGACATCACCCCCCCCCCCCCCCGAAAGGGAAAAGGGCAAACAGGTTTTAGTCTGGCAATGTCCAAGTGAGCCACTCAGGTGGTGACCCTTGACGGACAGCTGCCGCTTCCAGCCACGCCAAAAGGGTGCCCGACGGAATGCAACGGTGAGACTTGTGCTTGGATGCTCGGCGGCCTGGTTTCTAGGTCTGCAAGGCTTGATAGTGGGTTACCACGCGAACTACGAGCTTAGGAGTTGCGATGAGTGGTTTTCGCGGGTTGACTGAGGGTTACTACCCCAGGTCCGTTGAAGGCAGAACCCTTGAAGTAGAGTGCTTCCCTTAAAACAGAATTGAGCTCCTAACATACGCCCAAGTGAACATATGAGTCAACCAAAACCTGATTGATTCAAGGTATCTACCCAAAAAACATGCAAATAATTGCAAGGGCCGCGCCTACTGTCCTTTGCCATCCTTAATCCAGGCGCAATATGTCCAATGGTCCAAACACCGTTTCACTCAGGGATAACAAGGATGGTCATCACACCTTAAAGGGGCTGACTGTGGTCTCATGGAAATAGGATTAATAGCCTTTGGTTGATTATTTGGGGGGGGGGGAAGCCCGGTGTCCCATTTTAGCAGCACTCCGGATCACTTTCGGGGGGAAACACTTTACCAATCCACCCGGTTGATTAATTTGCAAATTCTTCCAAGTCCTAGAATAAGGAACCCAGTAACGCAAATTCACCATGATTTTCACTTGTTTTACCCTCAGGTCAAGCAGGCACCGACCCTCCTCGCAAACGGATCGCGCGCAAGCTGTCAGTTCACGCAACCCATGCTCACCTGAGGGAAAGAGTATCGCAAAGTCAAGAAACGGAATGGTTGGACACCTTGTACACTTTTGCTTGGTTACCTCTTGGCTGTACACCTTGGTTGGACACCTTTTGGTTGGCCGCTGGGTTGGACAACTGTTCGTTGGACACCTTTTGGTCGGGCGCCTTTTGGTTGGACACAGTTTGATTGGACAGCTTTTGGTTGAACAAGTTTGGTTGGACATCTTTGGGTTGGACAGGATGCGTCCATGGTTAAAGTATGAGAACATGTTTCCAGTGATCAAATCCCTTGAAAGCCAACAGGGGAGAATAAGAAATCTTCATTTCAACAAACAGAAGGCCAATTTTCGAAGATGGCTTCCGCTACTCTCAAACCGAAGCTACAAGGGGTTTGATGGGATAGACAAACTCTATATAGCGATTTATACAAATAATAACTATATATATATATGTATAGTGCATATATATATATATATATTATGTATATACACTACACAGAGATTCCATTACACCCGTGGGGTGGCTTCGGTTTGGGGGAAGTGGACATCATCTGAGATGCTTCATGAAGGTGCGCAAGCCCCAAGTGTTGATTTCCCTTGGACGCATGACAACCTTGCCCCAAGAAGGATGCAGCGAAAGGACCCAGATTTCATTTGCCTCGTGTGAAGTTGGATGTTTGGCGGCCCAATCAGAACCTGGCGAGAAGAAATGGCCAGGTCCCCCCAAAAAGGGTCGTTAGACCTTTGAATCTAGCGGAATCGGCGATTGAAAAGGTCCGAAATCCGACCCATTGGATTCGGTCTCACCCGATGGAGACCAGGGAAAAGGCGTTCCTTGCTCGGAGCAAGTGGTAACTTCTCCATTCTGCAGCTCACTGTTCGGACTCCGGACCTCAAACTCAAAAGTTACCCTTTTGGAACCTCGACTAATGGACTAAACTTGAAACACCCAAAGGTCCAAAGCTTGACTTTGGACAAGCGAAGGCACTCAGTTGGGAAACCTTTGGGGCCGCAGAACTGGGCACGGGGCTGTTTTCTTTTTCGCGATGTTCGGCAATGGGGAATCCTGGCAACTCGGGGGGTCCCAACAAATGGCGGTTGGTCAAGTCCCATGCTTTGCTGTGCAATGGTTGCCACGATTCCCTCGCTAAGCTACATCATGGTAGGTCATGATACTGACTGTGGCGTGGTTACCTCACCATCTGGTGGAATAGGGGCCACTCTCCCGACCTGTGAAACAAATTGCCAGCTCTTTCGTGCAATTTTTACACCAGGGACCCTACACCACTCCGCCCAAGACCCCTTCTCTCCTCCCACCCCCGCAAAAAAGTTCGTGGCACTGGGCGCGGCACTGGGCTGGTGGGGTCCGGATGCTCCTCCCCAGTGAACATGTGCATGATCCTGGCGCGAGGTCCGGTCCGAACGACTTGTGTTCCGTAACGATCGAGCTGATACTCGAGCCAATGAAAGGCCGGTAAAGATCATCGCAAGGGCATCGCCCCTTGCCGTAAAGCTGAAAGATTGCCAAGAATATGGAACAAGACGATCGGTACACCAGCGATAAAAGGCTCCCACCTGAGGTTGATTCCCGGCTGCATGCAAACCAGCCACAAACTGTGATAAGGTATCGGTCTTCCTTTCTTCCCTTCTCCAGTGACCTGATATTCGGCAAAGCAAGGGACCCCCCGTATACAAGTCTTGAAGCCCGCGGCGGGGCTCGTTTATTCCCATGAAAATGGGGGAAGTCCTACCTCCCTCCCTCCTTCTCTCTCTCTCTCTCTCTTTCTCTCTCTCTCTCTCTCTCTCTCTATCTCTCTCTGCAGCAATTTGTCGTGGTGTCTGTGTGTGCCTGTGACTGTCTTGCTCTTCTTTCCGCTCGTTGAATTGGTCCCTGGGTGCACCTGTCACAGTGACTCATTCCAGTTGCCACAGAAGCTACCAAGAAGCATCATAAGCCAATGATTGGCACAAATATATTAGCCTTGTTCAGAACTTGCCGTCGTGAAGGACACCAAGAGCTCGCCATGCTCGCCCCAAAAAGCGTCCCAAGCCCCAAAAGGACCATAGACTTCGACCCCGCCGCTCTGGCCGCGTTAACAGGCCAAAGCCCGCGTGCGGAAAGGGTCGAACTCCTGCTCCTGGGGGTTGGGCCTCACTTGCGCCCGCACCTCGGCGCTGGGAAAAGGCGTCTGCTTGACTCCACCGTGCCAACAAAGTAGTTTCCCCGTCGGCGTCCCGAACATCCCGTTTTGAGCACCAAGGTCAGGATCTGTTGATTCCCCCACTTGTGGCCCCGTCAACCGCAGGATCCCAATCGCGCGTTGCGTAGAGACGCAGCGGTCACAATGGGTATCTCCAAATGGGGCTGGCCTTTCTCAAACAATTGAAAAGGGAACAAATACAGGAACAGCGATCCCCATTCAGGGTCACCTATTTGGAGAAACATCCAACAGGCAAATGTAATTCGTCAAGGACATGGGACAATTAGCGAGCATGTCTCTGCCAAACTAACTCATACTGCGGGAAGTTGTCAGAATCTGTGCTGGCCTCTGCTTGGCGCACAGGCGACGTTGTGTGCCCCCTTCAAAGGAAATGCTTTATGCTTAAAAGGCCCAGTCTTTTGTCAACCCCGAGAAGGCCTGACACGCGGCGTACCTTTGGATTAAGGGTGGTCATTGGGTTGCTGAGCAGTTCGCGTCATTCACGGGTGGCATGCGGTGGAAGCTACAACTTGTTGGGAACCTTCGAGCTTTTGTGGACACCAAAGCTCACGGTCGCATGGACACCTGGACACCTGGCTTTTGGCAACTGTGGAAATGCTGTTGTCGTCCAAGGTCAGCGTTTCTTTTTGTACTTTGAACCTCCTGGGGGAAGAGCCCGAACTGAACCAACACAAAAAGTGTCCTTCGGAACCCCGGAAGCAGGATATAACCGCAGGATATGGGCTTGTCTCCAAATTGGGGGACACCAAGATGGGAGGTTATCCTTTAGTTTCCAACTACACCACCCCCAAAAGAGTACAACCCAAATGCTATACAAACATCTGATGTTGAAACTATCCTATGAGCGGAACCTCAAAGCCATGTGTTTGCATCTTTGCCTCAACTGCCTGCCACACCAACGCCATGTCCGCCCACTGGCTGACATATCAGCTATGATCATCTATGTCTAGAGCAGGGGTTGACCACACCTCCTTTCCAACCGAACTTCTAAAACAACAAAGTTGGTGAAGGAATGGACGGCAGTAGACTAGAACCGGTCTAAAACCAGCGCAATCCATCCATGTTCACTTAGACCTGACCCGGAAGGACATCTACGCCCCTGAGGGAAAAAGGCGTCCCCCAAAAGCAGTTCCCCTGCAGGACATGATATGGCTGTGGCTCAAAACCGGTACCAAAGTCAACCCTGGTAAGTGGAACCGTGGACCAACACCTGTGTAACCCCTCCTGCTTAATTTTGAGCCACCTCCATATGTGTTTGGTTCCATGCAAAATTCATCTGCAGACTGTTGGTCGCCAAACAGCCAGTGACGAATGCCAAGCCTTTAAAGCCCGCTCTCTGACCCGTCCGCGCCTGGTACCGCACCCTCCACAGCTGCTCGCCCTGGCACGGCACGGCGACGAAACCTACCCGTCGAATGGGTCGCATGGGTTGCGACGTCGTGTCCTTTGCTGCGACGCACCTCGTTGGAAGCCCTGTTTTTTCTTGGGTCCGAAGCCTCCGAACTGTGACACCCCGCAAAAGGACTTGCAGAAATCCATGATATGCCGCTTGCAAGCCTACGAGTGATCCAAACAGGGCAAGGATCCAAAATGGTATTTGGCCCTAGGCTTCATTTAACAGTGGAGTAAAATGCCACGGACACCATTTTAATCATACTATCCTGCTCTTCTTTTAGCTCAGGGCGGATGCTGGGGCGATATGCGAAGCAACGTTGCTCGGGCCCAATCGTGTGGAAATTCGGGCAGGAACATACCAGCAGACCCCTTCTGCCAGTTCTCTATGTGTTAGGGCTTGCCTCTATCAATAAATTGCATGCCTTCTTTACGCGGGCAAGGAGGGGCTGCACAGCCTTTCCGACTCGGCAACATTTACTCTAATTTTGCGGAACGTTCACCCCCAATTTTGTGGGTTATTTACCCCCAATTTTGTCCAATTTTGTTGGTTATTTACCCCCAATTTTGTTGGTTATTTGCCCCCAATTTTGTCGGTAATTTACCCCCAATTGTGTGGGTTATTTACCCCCAACTTTGTTGGTAATTTACCCCCAATTTTGTTGGTAATTTACCCCCAATTTTGTGGCAATTTATCCCAAGTTTGGGACTCGTTATTAACCCCCAATTTTGGAAATTTGGGGGTTAATAACGAGTCCAAAAATTGGGGGTAAATCCCAGGTTTCCCAACGGTATATGAAGATCTACTCCCCAATTATTGGACTCGTTATTAACCCCCAAATTTCCAAAATTGGGGGTTAATAACCACAAAATTGGGGGCAAATTGCCCACACGATTGGGGGCAAATAACCCACACAATTGGGGGTAAATTACCGACAAAATTGGGGGTAAATAACCAACAAAATTGGGGGTAAATATCCAACAAAATTGGACAACATTGTGGGCAAATAACCCACAAAATTGGGGGTAACTTACCGACAAAATTAGGGGTAAATAACCAACAAAATTGGAGGTAAATAACCAACAAAATTGGACAAAATTGGGGGTAAATAACCCACACAATTGGGGTGAAATTTGAGGTAAATTGGTGGTAAAGAGTTACTGCTACAGGCAAGGCTTAATCTATGTGGATTGGTGATCGGCTGGCCAACCTTGCATGGGTTCCCTTCCAGAAAGCGACCCCAACCATTCGGGCATCCTTCCAAGGATGGCGTAACTCCGACTACACTCGATGGCGATTGAGTTTCTTACTTTTGCAGGGAAAAGAAGCACTTTCCCGAACCAAAACCCAGCATTCGGAAAACCAACAAAAACCAACTTCCAAAAGAAGCACTTTCCGAACCAAGTCAACGACTCGATCTCCCGCACGTTTCACCTGAAGCACATCTTCGTTGGCGATGGGGCGATCATCAGCGCCTGGCCCATGTGTGTGGCCCCCGCTGGGCGGGCGGGGTGGGGATTCTTTCCCAGTGCTTCCAGTCACTCAATTCCTGAGTGGACCGGCCAAAACAAATACATGGTGTTTGCCACTAACAAAATGTCTTCCCAAAAAGTTTGAAGTCCATGAACTCAGGAAGTGAGGTTGCCACTCTAGCAGGTAACCAGGTAGTACCTCTCGGCTTTACAAAATGGTTTTCCATAGTTACTGGCCGGGGAACCCAGCTTATCGAAGGGTGGCAGGCCTCCGCCTTTCAGCCCTCCTTTCACAGTGGCCTTGAACTCTTCGGGCACCAAATACCAGGGGTGCACAGGTGCCACTCACTGAAAAGTTGCCTTGGCTGGAAACTGGGGTCCGAAAGACTTGAACATGTCCAAGGTCCATCGCCTTATGAATTCGTCAAGGAATATAGCTGTTTGGCCAGCATCGTGAGAAAGCATTGAGTTGCTACTGGACCTGATCTGAGCCCAAAAAAATCAAGTGGGCATGCAGTGGCCATGGGAAAAGGCCATCCTTTTGACGAATCCGACCCGGCAAAACAAGCGAAACCAGTGGAGAGATTGCAGGGCTGCCATGGCCAAGGTTGGCCACACTTCTCCCAAGTGCTTGGCACGTTTCGACGACACATGTGAGTTGTGGCAACGTCCACATGCACGGCACAAGGTCAGCACGAGTGTTAAAACCTGCCCGGAACAAATTTGCCCAAGTTTTTGCCAAAAAGCGATTGCTAGTTTTCACCCCCAAGCGAAACAAGAACAATCATACATACTAACAGCTCAGTCTGGCAAATTACAATAATTCGCCAACGTAAAATAAGGCCCTCCCCCCATCCCAAGACAGGAACCTCAACCGTTGACGTCGCAACCCCCCAGTGAGGTCGCTTTCATTTGCCCAGACTTTGTTCGATCCATCTTCCGCAGCGGATCGTTCCCCGGACATTCCCATGGCATAGAGTACAGGCTTCGTCTTCCAAAAGGATTGCAGTCAGTCTTACGAAATCAAATTCGTTAGTCTTCCAAAGGGGTCTTTTTGAGCACTTCCAACAAATCCTCTGAAGTGCGGCGCTGACACCGAATTTTTTGAGCCACTAACCAACAACCTACAATACTCTCTTTTGTATTGGCCTGCCCTACAGAGTTTGGCCGGACTTCGCTCGAATGACTTCAGTCCGCTCGCAACCGCCTAGCGGCTCATCCCATCTCGGGAAGGACACGCCGTCGCCCTTGGGGTCGAAGGGCTTCACAGGAAAGAACCAGTCCGGCCTCGGCTCACAAAAAACACGCGGGCCATACTGTGGATGGACGAAATCCATTTCGCACCATCTAAGAAACCCTGGAATGATGATTCCCTTGTAAATACCAACAAACAATGGTTTCCCATAGTTTCAAAGTGGTGCAGGATATCGTCCAGAATCCACAGTAGTACGAACGTCTCATAGGACATTTGTCTTATGCGAAAGCTGCCCCCCCCCCTATTGGATTTCCAAATTTCCTTGTTAGGAGTGACTTTTGCTGCTAGCCACCACATGGTTCAAGAAGATGGGCTCAAACACTGATGCTAGTCATTTTGCTACACAGTGGGTCATGCCATGCTGTTGCAGTCGTTTGAGTGCTTCAGAGAAACAGATTTGTGGCATGTGTCAGGCTGCATGCTTGACATCAACAACAAATGAAAGAGAACACGTAGTCGAAAGTTGTCACAGTGACCAACAAGTCTAGAATCTGTCATAGAGCTGTCAGCCTGTGTCCCATGTATGCCAAATGCCTCTGCTGCTTCTAGCAGCGCGCTATGGTCGGAAAAATTGGGCGGATCAAAGTCAGGCAGGAAGGAAGCGGGCGGCGCCGCAAGCAAAATGGATTGACGACCTTTGCCAGCGCCACGGCTTGCGTGACATGCTGGCAGAGCATGTGCGCACAGAAAAGAAACGGCCAGATGGTTTTCTTGATTGCCCGGTTTTAGCTAGTGTTGAGCCTGGCCAGCAGTACGATGGCACTTTGACTCCGTTCACGGACCAGGAGGAATTCTTGTTCCAGCAATTTGGAGAAAGCGTCGACTGCTACAGTCTGACAGTCAAGAAGTTTGTGCTGCTCCGACCCCCCTTAAGCATGGATTGCCCTTTGAGGCTAAAAATTCCATGCTGGAAGCCCAAGCAAGGCATTGAGTCAGCTGACTGCCTGCGTCGCTGCAGCTTGTCCTTCGAAGAGACAGCGTCTGCCCTGGGCATTCAGGTGGCCGAGTTGCGCAACTTTCTCGAGGACCCTTGGTGTTTGCAAGTGCCGGGGGTCACCTTGCAGTTGCTCATGAAGGGTGCGTGGGGGTCTTTGATGCTCAGAGCTGCGTGGCTTGCTCCACGGAGTGAGGGGTTTGCAAGGGCCGAAGCATTTCGCAAGCAAGTGGGTTGGCCGCCAACCGAATGGTTTGAGCGTCAGCAAAAGCTGCGGGCAGCTCCGCGACAGGAAATGCCAGAGGTTGAAGCTTTACCTTTTACCGGGGAGCATGCCAAGCAAGTAGCTGTGTTTCTGAAGAGCTTGGCGCCTACTGTTTTGCAATGCTGCGAGAGAGACACCCCAGAACTGGTAGTTTCTATGCAAATGGCTTTTGAGGAACATGTCATGCGACTGGAAGGTGCGGCAAAGCTGGCAGCAGCGCAATCAGCAGGGCAAGGCCAGAAAACATGGAAATTTACCAGTCATCAAATGTTGCAGGCGTTGTGCGGAGCAATGCACTTCAGAGACAGAAGCAAGCTTGGGGACGCGCTGAAATTGACAGTGGGTTCCGTGTCAAAGTTGCAGTCTGACATGATTGGAGATTCAAAGCCGCCCTCTGCAGCATCCATTTCACGGTCTCAGGTTTTGGTTGACTCAGCCTTGTGTTGTTTGTGGGCCGAAGCATTTATGAATTTCGATGGTTGCTTGTACTTGTGGGCTGATGCCAGCCCTCAAGGAGGTGTTGACTGGCTCCTTAGCCTGGTGCGCCAGATTGATGGCGCCGTGCTTGGCGATTGCGTGGAAGCTTCGAACCAGTTGCAGGAATCAGTGCATGAGTTTCAGCAAGCCTTTGATGCCAACGACCTTGCGCGCATGCAAGAGATTGTTGTGACACGGCATCGGCTGGGGTTGTTTCTGCAGACGCATCTCAAGACGCATTGCCAAATCCCCATGGGTTTGGGCAGTGGCGAAGCATCACTGGACCGAAAGTTGACTTGCATTGCGAGGAAGTTCTTTGCAGAAGCGCAATCCATGCCACTAACTGTACGCTTGCTGGGCATGGTGCGAGGAGTGTGCACCGATCTAGGCACTGAATCTGGCCTTGCAGATGTGGCAGGGTGCACCCTTGGCCAAGCCTTGCCAGAATGGATGCAAAAGCAGCTCGGCGACTTGATCAGCGAAGGCTTTGCACCGCCCCCTAACAGCGAATACTTGCTTCCTCAAGCACTTCCCTTGCCGGGCATCTTGCACGTGCTGCACAACATGTGCCGGGATGTTCACACAAACTTGAGTGGCTGGGACACATGGCTAAAGGGTTTGAAAGCCATTTCTGCCCTCCTTCACTATCGCCATTTGCGTCAACGGCTGATTGGAAAGTGCGCTTTGGGCACGCCTTGGGAGTGGATGAGAGGCCGGCTTGAGAATGGCACTGCCGTGCCCAAGCCAGCGGACTGGAGGTGGGGGACTGTGACTGAAGTGGTGGCCAAGATTCTAACCTTGAAGCGGTTTCTTCAGGCTGTATGGAATCCAGACCGGTTTGCAAGCAAGGACGACGAAGAGCCTGTGCGCCCAGTCGATCCAGATGCAGTTGCGGACCCTTCGACCATCACGCAAAGTGTGCGCAGCGAGCATTGGTGGCTCTATGCGGCTATGGTTGCCCGCCTTGGCAGGTTCAGCGTGGACATGTCTGCTTGGGCAGAGGGTTGCTCTTGTCATGGCTGGCTTCAAGTCTGGCAGCCTGATGAGGAGTGGGGACCTCCGCAACAACTTGAAGCCATCCGCCACGCGCTGTCCTTTCCGAGAGGAGTGGGTGATGGCTCGAATTTCAGGCCATGCCCCTTGGCAGGACAGCGAGCTGTTGAGCTGGCCAATGGGGAGCTCTTTGATATTTTTGAGCGCCTGAGCGAGCGCTACATCGAAGAAATCTTGCAGCATAACGCTGCAGAACCAGCCGAGGTAGAAGACGTCTTGGCCCAATTTGCGCAGGGCAAGGCAAAGATTGCCCACACGCTGCAGCTCAAGTTGCAGTGCTGGGACACGTTCCCTTGGAAGCTTGCAGCGCTTGCCGGGGCAAACGAGGGCACCGCGCGAATCAAAGCTCAAATGTTTGTCGATGAGTTTGACTCAACCCCTCAGGATGAGCACTTGCACCATCGCCTTACCTGGCAGCACATGAGGGCCGGATCAGCAACTCGACAAGATCTTGAGCGCTTCATTCAAGGAGCTTCCATGACAGAACTTCCCAACTTGCGAAGTTTTGCTTGGGGGTTGAGGTTCCTTCCTGTGGTTGAGCGTATCCAGGAAGCGCAACACAGCATTATCCAAAGGCACATCATCAGCAGGGGCAAGCACAGTGGCCCTTACATAAGCTGCCGGCTCCGCTTTGCCGAAGTGAAGGACATGGTCAACGATCCAGTCCGTGAGCCCAAGTTTGTGGAAAAGTTTGAGCTTGTGAAGAACCCTGATCAGCTGGCCAGAAGGATGGGCTTCTTGTGCCACCCGCTGTATGCTGCGGCAGTAGCAAACAAGCAGGGCGCTAGGGAAAAACTGCAGCTTGCCTCTGTAATCGCATATGCCTTGGACCCAGAGAGCCAATTTTCCAGAGACCGACACACGCGAGAATTGCAAGCAGCCCGGAAAAGCCACGCCGCCAAGAAAAGGAGAGACATCAAGAACGCTCTTTTGCGCCACACTGGAGCGCAAAACGAAAGATGGAGCATTGACAACGTTGAGAGGTGTGCCCTAGCAGTGCATTTTCAGGAGCGTCTCCATTTTGGGCGTGTGTACAGTGTGCCAGTAGCTTCTGTGCCTTTGCAGTCGCAAGCTGTGGCCCAGCAATTGCCTGCTAACCAGCGCAGCTCCCAGCTTCCAGCCTTGCAGGACCTGGCCCTGGATGTCGAACCGCAGTGTGAGCCGTTGGACCACCCGCTGCATCCCACACGTGAAGCTCACCCGCAAAAAGCGGGCCCAGCTCAAGACTCTTCAAAGATGGTTTTCATTAGGCTAGTCAGCGCCCGACCAAGCAGGAAGAAGGTGCTCCCGCTTCCACACGCCACATCCAAGCGGCTCTTAGCAAGAGACATGTGCGTGACCGTGCACCAGCACCAAGTCGCAAACAGCAGCCATCTCGTGAGTGTAGAGCCCAGACAGGCTGCAGGGGTTGACACGCAAGTTGCCATTTTGTCCATTTGTAATGCAGACGTTGCAGCTCTAAAGCAGAGTATGCGTTCTTGGTCTACACGCCCAGCGCTTGTGTTTACCTTGAAAGGCTTACGTGTTTCAGCAGTGGCGCAGGAGCTTTTGCAGAAGTGTGTTCATTCCAGAGCCTTTCCAGATTCGCCTGCGTCGCAGCACCTCGTCATCAAAAGCGCGGACACCAGTTCTGTTCAAGCGATGAGTGAGTTAGAAAACCTGGGCGCTACCAAGCGGACCTCCTTGTCCCGCGATGAAGCAACATGGGCTCTTACACCGAGAGGCGTTTCGCAACTCCACCACATGCACGAAGTGTCGAAGCCTGCTCTTTTTCTGAGGCCCTGCGCAGAACTTGCGGCGCTAGCCCCTGAGGAGTTGCCCTCCCTAACGTCATGGGAGCTGTTTCAAGTATTGCGTCAGAAAGGTTGGGTGCTGAAGCGAGCTTCCGGCCCACCAAAGAAAATGCGGCTGTTGCCACCTGTCACGCGTGAGCCTTTGCTTCGCCAGTGGTACTCCACGTCTGTGAACTTGACAAGCAAAAACACGAGGTCCTACATGCTTGCCCTTGCCCAAGTGGATGAGCTGTTTGCAGGCAGCTTTGTGCAGTGCGTTTACCATTGCCAAAAACAAGCGTATTACGAGCACCTGCTGGATGGAACCAGCACAGGAGACTTGCCAGAAGACTTGATGCTTGAAGATGGCGATGTGCTCGAAGCAAATGCGCACGCTCGTCAGGATGCTTTGAAATTGGACGTCCAGGCCCCGGCTGCCACGGACAGCCAGCTGCCTTTGTGCCTGGAGCCAGCTGTGCCTGCTGAGCCACCTTTGTCTGACGGGTCTTGCTCGGAGCACACAAGCAACCTCACTTGTGAAGATTCCGAGATGGACGATGCAGAGGACAAAGACTCTCTTGACAGCTTGTACGTCCCTACAAGCCCTCGGTCTGAAGACCTTCAAGCTGTTCCCTGCATGATGGGTGACTTGATGAATGACAACTTGATTGGAAAGGAGGACTGGGCCAGGGTGCAAATCAAAGCTTCAGTA